AAGACTATTTAACTTAGAAAAGATAAATGTTCTATGTGTGTTCTAAAGATGGTTGTACTATGTGTATCCTAAAAAAAGATGTGTACTATGTGGGCAATAAATAACAATTGTTTATCATCGTCATAAAAAAAAAAATAGATGTGCGTGCATCTCAATAATACAAAAAGATTAAAAATATTCTAAATATTTTAAATTTGGCTTTAGTAAAATCAGGAAAAATAGCAAAAGAAAACTGTAATCTAGAAGGGTTATTGTCCAAGACATTTAATTGTTAAATTAAATGTTAACCTAACTTAATTGTACTAGCTGATTGCTTGTGTAATGATTATTTAATAACGAATAGGACTGTCAATTGTGCAAGCTTTTCCCCCATAACCAAAGCTCTTTGATTGAATTGCAGAATTTTTACAAAATTTTATTTACAAACAAATAGAAATTAAAAAAAAATTTTCTGTAAACTCTTTTCTAGAAATATTTAAAAACAGAAATAGTATTTTTTAATCTATCATTAGTTCAAATTGGCTTTTAACAGGTAAATATTGTAAAGTTCAATTGTAAAGTCATTCAATTTAAAAGTTACCTCAAATTAACACTAGCAGTGAATCAGTCACAAGGGAATTGAAATCAAAATATAGGTAAATGCTAGGGATGTACCTGAATTCCGTTTGTGACTTTTAGGTCATTCATTAGGTCAGGTACGTTCCGGCCGGAATTACAATGATTCAGGCCGGAATGTCAGATTCATTATTCAGTATCCTGAAAACTAAGAATAAAAGTTTTGATATGCATACATTTCTTGTTACATGTAGAACAATAATAACTGTAGGAGTTTTCATCAGTTTTGTTTTTTTATTAGTTACTCTTATTTTAAAAAAAGCACAAGTATGCCATCATAGGCAACTACTGCTGTTATGATGGTCTATGGGTGTATGGGGCTGGTTAGCATCAAGGGTAACTTGGAAGTTCCATTTAACCTAGAGTCTTTCCTCAGAAATGCCAGAAATTATGCGTAATTATCCTAATTTATCAGCAATGTAGAATTTCGCAAATGCACATAAGAGATTTTGCATTTTATGTATTTTTTGAACCTAAAAATTTTTAGTGACATAAAAATTCCTTATTACTTCACTAACCAATAAGTTGTTTTTAGTAAAAAAATTTTTTTTTCCTAACTCGACAATATTGCAACACCCCTAACTTGTCAACTTGTCAGTTGTCATGTCTGCTTTGTTCAAAGCTCTGTCTGCTTTGTTCTAAATATAAAATTAAAAAAAGTATTCTACTAAATTTCACCTAAAACTTGGATGAATAAAATGCATGAAAATTTCATTTCTGCACAGTTAATAATAAAATCGCAATCTTAAATATATAAAGGGATTAAAAATACAACAGCACATCCCAAAAATTTTTGTTGATTATAAAATCAATGTTTGTGCATAAGGGATGCATTTTTACTAAAACTAATATAAAGTCAGTATAGACATGTAGGTCTAATCATTTTTTTTGCCATAATAAATATTTATGAAATTATGATCAAATTAATGAAATAGGTTAAAAATTAAATAAAGTTCTTGTTCTGGCCAGAATTCAGGCTGGAATTTTGTTAACAAATCTAGCAAATCCAGTTTTAGCCAGAATTCAAAATTTTCAATCCAATACACCCTTAGTAAATGCATAAAAAATTACATAAATGTCGTTATATTAAAAATATATATAAGAAATAAAAACTAAAATAATAAAAAATTAAAATTAAAATAAAGAAAGGAAGAATATTTTTGAAGAAAATTATTGCTCCTCCAATTTTATTTAAAATGTGTAAATTGTAAATCCCCATTTTACCTAAATTTTATTAAAATCATTTATATCTATTGCTAACTATTTCTATCATTGTCTTTAAATTTTTCTTAAACCATAAAATTTAATTGTATACATCTTTTATCATATTCCAAAATCCATAACTTCAATTCATAAAATATTAAAGTTAAATCAATATAAACTTGCGGTATATTAGTTATAGTTGAATATTACCTTAATTAAAAGATAGCTGTGGTTAAATGTAAATTTTATGTAAGCTTAATTAGAAAAACAGGTTTTTAATTTTAAATGTAATTACATTAGTAATTTCAATTGTTTTTATTTTTTAACATCTCCACTTCCAGAAAGGTTGCGTGCAACCACTTTAAGAGTTGGAAATTACTGGAATATAGGAAAATCTAAATTATTGCAATAATGATTAGCTGAAAAAATTGAGTTTTATCTGAGTTAAAATTCACCAGCCATCGAGAGCCTCATGCTGTAGCAGAAGTGAGATCCTTTTCAAGTTTAAATGCCCCTTCAAGCAATCAAAAAGTGTTGGCTTCTTATCAAGACAAGAATAAATGGTAGTATCTTTAGCAAACAATGCCACCTTAGATGTGAGATTTTCTGGGAGGTTGTTAATGTAAATTAAAAAGATTATAGGGCCAATAATAGAACCTTTAGGAACCCCTGAAGTTACAAGATTCATATACTTTTTTAAGAGTGCTGCCCATCAAAGACAACTTTTTTACTGTAATTAGTAAGGAAGGATTCATTTATCTTAAATATGTTATCTGATACACTGTAATTTGAAGCTTATAAAGAAGACTAGCACGCCAAACTTTATCAAAAGATTTAGAAATGTTGAGAACAATAGTTTTAACTTTTACACATCTAATGCACAATAAAGCCTATAGGTCATTACCATAAACAAATCAGTAACAGAACAAAAAGAATGAAATCCATATTGATGATCAGAAAGTTATTAGATTCAAGGTGAGATGCTAAGTGTTTGTTAATTAAAGACTCAAAAACCTAACTTATTATAGTATAATGACTAATTGGACGGTAGTTGGAAGAGTCAGATTGCTCTACAGATTTTTTGAAAACAGGGAGAACAAATGCTGCTTTCAAGCAGGCTGGAAAACAAGACTCTGATAAGCACTTGATATATAGTTTTTAATTTGTAGGCAACAACTCAGAGAACACTTCTAAAAAGCTTTAACAGGTATGTTATCCAGGCCACAAGCTGTAGAAGAGTCAAGCATATAATCCCTTTAGATACAGAAGCTGGAGTGATACAAACATCAAGCAATGAATCAACCTGTTATATTGACTATATTAGGTAGAACCCGACTAAAGGAATCAAGAGATGATATTGATAAGAATTTGTTCTTTTATAGATACTGTTAAAGATTCTCTAGAAGTCACAGGAGCCTAATTTCTGAGATGAAATTTGACCTGAGAATAGCCAGTTTTGGCATTAGACAAATCCTTTTTACAATGGTTTCTAGCAATAGTGAACAGATGTTTTTTTTCTAGAGAATTGTTTTGCTGATAGATATGAAAGTAATGGTTATGATTGGAAATTGCAGCAACACAATGAAAGGAAAACCATAGAGAAGAGTGAGGCTTGACTTAGAATTTTTGAGGAGGAATTAAAAGTTTCATGCTAGCTTGAATCCAAGAAATTACGTTAGAAGCACATTTATCAGTAGAAAGACAAAAGATTTCTACCCAAGAACCATCATAAAAAAAATCATAAAAAAAGTCCCAGTCAGCTTTTAGGTAATTATAAGTGGTACAATGATAAGGGGATTCTGATGATGAAGAAGAATGAGATGATAGTTTTAAACAGATCAAACCGTGATTAGAAGCCTTAACTCTGATAACTCTGATAAACTTAACTCTGACTAGGACCAGAAACATGACAATATCTAGAAAGCAAGATGGAAATTTGACAATTTGAGTTAGAGATTAAGAAAGGCAAAAGTTGTAAGCATTAACGCCTGCAGAGTCACTGACACAAGAGTCAAGCTATTCAGTGTGATGAGCATTAAACTCACCAGCAACATTGATATTGGTTAAGGGATAAAGAGAAAGGACAATTTGATCAGAAATAACATCAAAAAAAGGGCAGTCTAAGATCACAAGATGAAACAGCTGAACTAAATATAGTCTTACAAAGAGCAAGTAGATCTGGTGAACTTTGCAAGAGATAAGGCTCTACAGAAGAAAGATTACTTCAAAGACCATATTTATTAATGGATGATAGATTTAGAGGACTTGATCTCTCTTCTGCTACAGCATAGGCTCACAGTGGCTGGTGAACTTTAATTCAGATAAAATAATAATTTAGATCTTCCTATATTTATGAATGGTCATGTACTCAATGAGTCATCTATCCTTCATTTTCTAGGATTAACTCTTACTTCTGATCTTTCTTTTATATATCAAATCCGTTGCAGATTAGCATCTGCTAAGGTTGCATCTTTTTATTAAGCTTGAGACTTTCTTACTCTGGATTCTATTATCTATTTCTATAAATCTCAAATCCAGCCTTGTATGAAATACTGTTGTCATATCTGGGGCGGATCTTCTAATGATGCCCTTTCTATTTTAGACAAGGTGCAAAAGCACATTGTAAACATAGTTGGATCTGCTCTTGCAGCCAACATCCAACCATTATCACATCATCGTAATGTTGCTTTTCTTTCTCTTTCATACAAATACTAATGGGCACTGCTTAAAAGAGCTAGTGTCTCTTGTACCATCTACTAAAATTCATTCTCGTGTAACTCGTCATTCAATTAAGTCTCATCCTTTTTCTGTTACTGTTCCAAAAACTCTTATTTGTCTAGTTTTTTTTGTCGAAGATCAATTTTTTGGAATTCGCTTTCTTTATCTTGTTTTCCTGATTCATATAGTTTGCAATCTTTAAAGTCATCTGTCAATCATTATCTTGCTCTACAATCTTCATTTTTTCTCTTTCAGTAACTTCCAACTCTAATAGTGGTTGCTTGCAACCTTGTTGGAAGCAAAGATGATTAAAAAAAAATGTCCAAGATGAGTATTTTTATTGAGACATTATCTCTAGACCATCTCTAACCAAGTCAGGTTAAAATAATTAATCCTGACAAATCATGGATATGAAATAACTAATGAACAACCACAAGCATTTTAACTAATATATAAACACAAGTAAAGTTACTAAATACAAGCACAAGCTACTAATATGTAAATACAAGTAAGGTAAGGTTATCCAGCTACATATAGTCAGGATAACCTGACCTTACTTGAATTTACATATTAGTAGCTTGTGCTTGTATTTAGTAACTTTACTTGTGTTTATATATTAGTTAAAATGCTTGCGGTTGTTTATTAGTAGTTTCATATCCATGATTTATCAGGATTAATTATTTTATCTAAACAATGGAGTATGTTCATACAATCAGAAGTAGCCACACTCCATTAAATCAGAGAAAGTAAGGTAGAAATGAATCCTGGCTGTCTGAATAATTTTTTGATCTACATATTTGAATGATATTAGCTCAACACTAACAACCTTAATTAAGTTTATTGAATTAAGAATAAGTTTATTGAATTAAGTTATTTAGGATGCTGTTCAAAATCTAAATAAATTTTGAATTTAATTGTATTTAACCTGCTGTATTAAGGTTAATCAATCAATCAATCAAGTTTAAGGTTAACCAATCAAGTTTAAGGTTAATCAATCAATCAATCAAGTTTAAGATTCTTTTTTTTGTCCTTTTTAAACTTTAAGCCAAGATAAATTTCCATTTATCTTGGGTATACACATGTTATGTTAGGATATTCCTATGAGAAGTTTTTAGCTTCGTATTTCTTTGACTATTTTTATTTTCATAAAATTAAATTTTCCAATTCATGTAAACTTTTAGAAATTTTGTTAACAATGATTTGTATAGTAAAAAAAATTTAGTACTTTCATAAAAAAGTTTGGTTTTTAAATAAAAAAGTACTTTAAAAGCCTTGCTAGCTCATAAAAAAAATACTTAAAAAAAATTGATGTTTTAAAATAAATAAGAAAAAACGATTTAATTAATTTATCAACCTGTAATTTAGTTTTATGATTAAACTTTATTTCTTTATAAACATAAAACAATGACTTGAAATATTTTGAACAAATCGTAATTAATAAATTTATTAGAAAACATAATCAAATTTGTTGCTGTAAGAAAAATGTAAACAAGAGCAATTTAGATATTAAATTTAAAAAGGAAATTTATACATAATATTTAAATACCTAGTTATTCAACTTTTCACTTATTTCATCCCTAATTTTTCATTATGCTATCTCCACTAAAAAAAATTCATTAAAAGTATTTCTTTATTAAAGTAAAGATGTACATTTTTTAAAATGTAAAACTATGAATAAAGACTAAATTTTTTAAATCAACAAAAGTTAATGTTTATTAATTTAACAGCCTTCAATTAAAAATTTAATAACTCACTTTAATCAGTCTAAATTTCTGATCAGGGGTAAATTTAAATGATGTGGGTGTGGCTAACATTGTAGAATTAGCTGTAACTAATCATTAATCCATAGCATTAGCTGTAATACTTAACATCTAATTTGAAAAATACATTAGCTTTATTTAAAGATTTTTGATTGGAGTTCTAAAATATGCTAGGCTTTAAGCCTAGAATTTGAACATTCTAGAGTTTGCACATTCCAGAATTAATCTATGATTTGTGATCATCAATACTAAGTTCTCTAACCATCCAAAATATTTTTTTTAAAAATAAAATCCATAACATTTTTATTTTATGAATTATAAGATTTTTATTTATTCTAGGTGTCAAATATCTAGAAGTATTCTTTAAAATTACATTACTGTAAATTTAACAACAATAAAATGGCAGCTTTAATAGTTTTACTTTTATCTAAAGAAAAGTTTAATATGCTTTAATTATTATTAAAGTATTTATAGCAACTGAACTAGATAGTTTAACAATTACCAATTTAAAAAAGAAGAAAAACATACTATCTTGTATAGTTTAATATTTGAGATAATTTATGAACAAACAAACATAAACAAAGAATGCTTGCTTTCTTTTACAAAATTATTTGCTCAATAACTCAAACTGATAATATTGTCATTTTTGTTGTGCAAGCCAAAATGATTTTGTTACTTTTTTTTGTGCAAGCCAATATTGCACTAATCAAATCATTTGATTGAAAAAAATATAATGGTTTTTCATTTGTATTAAACTTTCAATTCAATTGTTTTATTGACTACTTTAGTATAAGCCTTAGTAACCAAATGTATAATTTTAATATAGGCCTTAGTATTTGAATATATAACTTTAGTATAGGCCTTTGTAACCAAATGTATAACTTTAGAAACAAATTGAAGAATTAACTTTTTTTTTAAAACATAAAAGTTACACTTTGCGTTTGTATACTTACATTTAGATATCAATTTTTTATCTTTACTAAAATCTATCAAAAATTTCAGCATCTCTACATCCTTCAATAAAGTTTCCTCATAGATTTATAGATTAGCTAGTTACTTACTGTAAAAAGAATATTATATGTTTAAAAATGAGTTATTGAATCTTTGATTACAAATTTTCTAACTACACATACAATCTTAATTTTGTGAGAATTTTTTGTCTTTACTTTTTTTAGATGTCTTTTTATTACTTTTATTATTTTTTTAGTCTTTTTATTTTTCTTATTTTTTCTTTCAAATGCCTATTAAGTTCTTTTTATTTTTGTTTAAATTTTTTTACTTTAAAAATCACTAACTGCTTGGAGTTTGTATTCAAAAAATAATTATCAATTTTTTTTATTACTGAATAATTTATGATTTCAGAACTGCCATTATGTGCGATACATGTAAAGAAAATGGATATTCTTCATTTGCTAAGATGAAGTTTCATGTTGTCTGTGCAGAATGCAAGGGAAAAGAAGTAACATACTTTTGGAGTGTAAAATTTAGATATGAAAATTCACCTCTGCTTACAAATTTTCATAAATGTATGCCAACTTCCTGGCCTGCAGCCTTGTTAAAAAATTATGATGGATTGTTTGCACCTGCTAACTTGTTTCCTCTTGCTGTTAAAACTGCTTTATCAAATCAAATTATAGATTCACGCTGTATTAATTATATGCCAGTCTATAGTTCTGATCAGAGCTGTTCTCAAATAAACTTTGTCAATGAAGCTTGTTTAAAATCAAATCAAACAGTTAGATCCAATTTCTTATATTCTATGAAAAAAATGTATAAAGCAACAGATTCTACTACTTTTAATAAAGAAAGTTTAATTCCCAACACAATTTCTTGGACTAAAGATAGTATACTTAAAACAACTATTACTGACCAAAAAAAAGAATATAATCAAAATAAATATTTAGAACTAAAAGCTGATAAAGATCTTTCCCAATACTTTACTGACAGATCAAATTATTATAGCCGTGCAATAAATAAAGGTGATTATATATATGATAGCAATAAAGAAAATTTCTTGATACAGGCAAACTCTTTAATTCCTGGACAACCATATGAAATATCTGTAAATATTTTTAATGGAACAAAGCAAGATCCAGTTATTGCCTCTTCTATTATGTATTTTAAAACTGAGGAGCCTCCTATTAAAGGTTCTTGTTTTTTGATTCGAAACGAAACAGGAACTGAGTTTAAAACTGTGTATTCCATTAAATGTGAAAATTGGAAAAGTAATGTAAGTGCTTTTAATACTTTTAAAAATAAGATTTTAATATATATTCTTTATGTTATTGTTTTTTTTTAATTTTTGAAAATGTTTTAGCATACATTGTTGTACACAGTCACATCTGAAAACAATGAAGTTATTGTTCACTCTTATGTATTTACATTTGATTTTATTCTCTCTGTTGATTTTACTTTAAATGGAAAAAAAGGTGAACTTTTTAATTAATGTTCTAATTTAGGTAATGTAAATTTTATGCATGCATGCATATATATATATATATATATATATATATATATATATATATATATATATATATATATATATATATATATGTATTTTTATCTTAACTGTCACAAGGAGACCATCTTGTTTTAGTAGTAAAGTATTGTAAGCGTGGTCATTACAGAAAGTTAGAAACCTGTAGGTAAAGTGTCGCTGTTTCTTAACAGAAATAGAAGTGTAGTAACTTCATTTGGCTCTCCTGTAAAATTTGTCAAATGTGAGTTACGATAGTTGACCTCTGAGGTACAGATATAAATATATATATATATATATATATACATATATATATATACATATATATATATATATATATACATATATATATATACATATATATATATATATATATATATATATATATATATATAAATATATATATATATATATATATATATATATATATATATATATATATATATATACACACATATATATATATATATATATATACATATATATATATATATATATATATATATATATATATATATATATATGTATATATATATATATATATATATATATATATATATATATATATATATATATATATATATATATATATATATATATATATATATATATATATATATATATATATATATATATATATATATATGACATAAAAATCTTAACAGACATAAAAACTAAAAATTTTACTTGATTACCATCAAGTATTTGACTCCTAATAACTAATAATTTTACTTGATTGATGCAAAAGAGATGCAAAGAATGTTTGCGTTTGAAAGTAGAAGATTAGGAAAAAGTTATTCAGAGCAACAAGTAAAATTTTTAGGTTGCAAACCACAAAGGAAAAATCTATCTTAATAGAATTACTATAGAACTTGGAAAAAAATTTTGAAAATGATTTTTTTAAGCAAGACCACATGGTAGTGGAGGCTTACTAGGCATATGGGGGTGTTTTTTCCACAATGTTTTGGAATGTGTGAGGTGTATAACAGCTGGATTCATCAAAATTGTACCAGTTAAAATAAAATTAAAAGAAAAGTCTTATCAATATCAGTTCTTTGCTATTACCCCAGTCTTTACTAATCAAAATTTCTTGGGTGAAAATTGATGCTCAATTGGTAAACCATCAAATTCAACTACTTTTGAAAAGTATCAGTTAAGTGTCATAAGATACAATAAAGTTATATTGAACAAAATAATACAGCATAAAACTTGAGCACAATCCAAGAAAAATATAAAAAAAAAAATTGATTGTGGTGATGCAGGAAAGATGGCGATTGATGATCAATGTCTTGTCAATGGTCCATCATCAACTTGTCATTTGATTTACCAATTTTCTTGGTCCAAAAAGTTTTGTGTGCATGTTATAATAATCGATATTTGACTGAATTTTTTAATTTGACTAAAATGTTAAAAAATAAAAGAATTAAATGTTTTTTAAAAAAAAGCTCCAGTGAGCAACAGCAAAAATGAAAATGGCTTTCTAAATACCAAATTATTCATTATGATTTGTAAACACTTATACAGGATATTTCAAAATGTTTATCCATATTATCTTAATTTGCTTAAAAGTGTGGCCACTATGTAGATGCAAACATAGCAGAAAAAAAGAATTTTTCATCAAGGCTTAGCATTTTAGAATGATTGAAAGTAATGAATTTATTTTGCACATCTTTTATAATTATGCATAAAAATACCAGTGTGTATCATCAACTTCTGCAACTTTAAGAGATTTTTTTCTGCTGCCAATATTTTTATTTCTCAAAACACTGTGTTGGCATTGGAATAGTTGAGAACATTGTTTTTACAAAAGAAAGCATTAGATAGAATAAAATTGAAAGCATTAGATAAAATAAGAAAAGAAAGCATTAAATAGAATAAAATTTATTTTTAGTTGTGTTTCAAAAAAATACTTTACTTAAAATATGTTAAATATATGATGATGCAAAATTGTGAAAACTATTTGTTGGTGTTAATTAAAGCCAATAATAGATTTTTAACCTGAACTGCAAAGATCTTAAATCAATTACTTTTTAAATTGATTTAACCAACAACAGCCTTAAGGTCACCTTACCCGCATTTGTGTACTTTACTGCATATTTTTGATTTTTAGTTTTTTATGTTAATTTTATGTTAATTGTAGTTGTTAAAAATAATCTTAAAATCTTTACTAATTTATTTGTGTTCTTTATTCTATATATTTTTTTTTGTTGCAAGGTTTTCAGATATTTAAAATGTTTTCTTAAATTACATCTGTTTCCTTGCATAAAATTTTGCAACGTTCAAAATGTTTTCTTTAAATTAATTTTGCAATGTTTAAAATGTTTTCTTCAAAACAAATTAAAAAAAAATGATTATGAAGGTTTTCATTTGTTGTTTTATATAAAAATGTGTTACTTTCATTTAAGGAAAAAATAATAAAAAAGGAAAAAATAATAAAAAAATAATAAAAACTACAAACTATTTAATTATATAATTTAATGACTAAAATGCATGTTTAAAAGCTTTTATAAAAATTTTCATTTAAAAATGGAACCTTCCTACATACAAAATTTAGAACTTTTTTAAGTTTATTCTTATATTTTATATTTATGTGAATATTCTTTTGAATTAAATTCTTTTGATTAAATTCATAATTATCTGGATAGCGACCCTATGATGCAATTATTATTAGTTATACAGTTAATTCTTTTTTAATTAGTTGAACACTGGTTAACTTAAACATTTCTTATCTTAAACTGCCTCATTTGATACGATGATGATTTGATACGAATAATACAATGACAAAAATAAGACAGAAAAAAAAATACAATAATGAAAAAATAAAATTTTTTTATAAATACTTTAAATAAAAAAAGATATACAACAAATATATCACCATACAAAGATTTACAAAACAAAGTATTCACTACAAAATAAGAAGTGTGCATACAAAAATTTAAGGTCTAAAAAAGGAAAAAAAAACATTAATGCTAATGTTTTATGCATAAACATTTCCTCTGAACCATTTTCTTTGTTCCGTGGAGGTTGAAGTTGTCAGGAAATATGTTGTGATTATAATTTCACTGCAATAGTATAAATTATATTATTTAGCAAATTTAATTGTTACAATTGAAGATGAGGATGGAAGATGGATTTCATTGTGTCCTCTTTCTGTGACAGTTTTCAAGAACAGCAATGTTAGTTATTATAATATGTAAGTTTTTTTCATATTGTTATTATAATATATAAGTTTTGTTTATGTTAGTTATTATAATATATATTTATGTTTTTTTCATGTTAGTTATTATACTATGTATGTTTTTGTTAATGTTAGTTATTATAATATATATTTTTTCATGTTAGTTATTATACTATGTATGTTTTTGTTAATGTTAGTTATTATAATATATATTTTTTCATGTTAGTTATTATACTATGTATGTTTTTGTTAATGTTAGTTATTATACTATGTATGTTTTTGTTAATGTTATTATAATTTTCTGTTTCATGATATTTCTAAAAAATTTAGTTTCTCAATGTTAAACGAAATAGAAAGTAAAAAATTGGTAACTGATGCCAACTTGGATTTACAGAAAATTACTGTTCTCCTTCATAAATTTAATAGGTATGATGTATGTTAATTTATCAAAAATGCAACCAATATGAAAATATTATGTTTTTGCTTACATTTTTACATTACTTATTACATTGCTTACAAATTTTTTCTTACTCTTCTGCACTTTATACAATTTAATCTTTAATTGACAATGCTCAACTCTTTGCTTCTTTTTAATCAATTTCATCTTGTACTGAACTATTTTAGTTAAAATATGATAACCTAATACTTTAAAGAGCTTTCAAAACTCTTTAGAAAGAGCTTCCAAAGTAATACTAAAATGAAAAGAACTAAGCACTAAACTCTGATGCATACTGACTTATACTCACAAAACTTCCTTCATGTTTTACTTTGATTGCTGTTTTTCATACTATGAAAGGTAGTTTACCTTATTGCTATGTTAATTGTTACCTGGTATTCTTTAATACTAAGTAATTTTAAACACTACATATTACCTTAAATATTATTTTGTTGAGCTTTTTTAAAGAAAATAAATGTTGTCCACATATTTTTTTATTTTTAAAAAATTCATTCCTGAATTTGATTTAAATATTGTATTTGTACTATGAATGTTGCATTTGTAGTTCTTTTTCCTGCCCAAAAACCAAACTGCATGTTATTAATAAATAAACTGCTACTTATTATGTTGAAAATATTTTTTTTCTATAAGTTTATCTAGTTAAGCAACTTTATTCCTCAGTATAAGCCATATTATCTAAAGAGTAAAATGTGGTTCTATATGAACCATCTTCAACTATATTCACAAGAGTTCATGCCAAAAATTACATACAATATCCTAAGCATCAGCAAGTTCATTTTCAGATAGCATTTCAGATATTTTCAGATGTCCTACTTGCCATTTTTGCAATCTCTCCACTTTTTACTTGTACTAAGCCCTTATTGCCTGACCCAACTTTAAATCTCACAATTTTTTATACACTAAAACACTCACAAGCTAATTTACAAGTTGATTGGTTAGTGTTAAGATCAACCTCAGTTGCTGTAAAATACTTTCCACTTTTTAACAGTTTAGGTTTGACCAGTGACTTACCTGAGTCTAACAGCGTTTCATCAAGCTTGTCTCTTGTTGTTAATTTAACTTAACCTGTATGAAAATTCATTATTTTCATTTTTTGAAACTTGACATTATATGGTCTTGGAGAGAGTTTAGAGATGCCTCTTCAAATTTATAACTTGTTTTACAGTTAAAAAAACTAAGTATTTTTGCCTTCATTAAAATGACAAATCTATTATTATTGTGATTTTCATAAACTGAACAAAGCTATTTATTGTTCATTATTTTTAATACTGCATATCATATTCAATTATTAAATATTGTTTTAAAATAATCTAGAATTTTTGCAAATCATTCAAATATTGAGGAGTCATATAGAATTAAAGAAAAAGTTTGCAAGTTGCTTCCTAAATATATATACCAAGTATTATACTTTTTTTATTACTTAACTTTTATTAGATATCTTTAGTGTTTTTTATATGATATTTACAAGTCTAAATTAGAAAAAAAAAAAAATGTCTAAATTAAAAAAATAAAATGAATTGTATATAATAAAGTGTATAAAAAAGAAGTAATATATATATATATATATATATATATATATATATATATATATATATATATATATATATATATATATATATTTTTAAATATATACATATACAAATATTTATATATATATATATAAATAAATATATATATATATATATATATATATATATATATACATATATATATATATATATATATATATATATATATATAACATGTGATAACTAAAAATCTGGACAAAGTTTGAGTAAATATTAAAATATGAAGGAATAATTCAATATACTTGCAATCACTTCTATTTTGTTACAATTTAAATTCTTAAATGTATTATTAAAAAAAATTTAATTAGTAATAATTAAAAATGAAATAAAAGACTGGTAATGAAGACTTCCTTAGAAATCGGGTGTATGCATTTTTGGATTTGCATCCAGATAAGAATAGAAGCTTTATTATGAATTATTTTCGAATTGAGAATATACCAAAATCTTCTATTTATAATATACTTCAAAGAAAGGAGAGTAATATAGGACCAGAAAGAAAAGTCGAAAGTGGTCGCAAAGCAAAAAAGATGTCTGCAAAAGAGATGTCTGCAAAAGAGATGTCTGCAAAAGAGATAATGCGTCTTAAAAAATTGATAGATCAAAAAGAATGGTATTTCAAGCGTCTTGCAAAATGTTTCTATTTACCACAACTGTACCTATGCAACTTTTTTAACAAAAAAACTATTATTTGTTATCTTAAAAAACTAAAACACCTAAAAGAACAACGACTCAAAAAACAGCTGTTTGTTTAAAGTACTGTAGATTGGTTTCAATTTTTAGGAAAAAAGTAGTTATTAACACCAATATTTCCAGAAATGTTGGATTCTATTTTTCTGACATAAATACAGTATCAAATGATGTTAAAAAGAAAAGACAAATTTGAGTCAAAATTACTTGTTTGGGTTGCATCCTCAACGAAAGGAATCTCTCAGCAGTACATTGCTCCGTCAGGCAAAGCAGTCAATGATGATGTGTATACTTCAAAATGTCTTGTTAGATTAGAGAAATTCATTGAAAAACATCATAAAAATGACAATATTGTCTTTTGGTCTGATCTAGCTTTGTCACATTCACATAAAGTGCAAGGTTATCTAAAAGTTAAAAATATTGAATTTGTACAGAAAGAGCATAACCCTGCTAATGTGCTAGAATTACGTCTAATGTAACTTAAAGATATTAAACTCTTAAGTTCAGACTTAAAGGTCTGAACTTAAGAGATTAGTGTATAATAAAAACTGGCAAGCTGAAAATCTAGGTAAACCTAAAAAGCAAATTGAGTTTTTAATTAAGAAAATCAAGGTAGAATATGTACATCGGCTAGCTGCCACAAGAGTAGACACCGCTCGTTTTCCTGGCATGAAAAACTTATAAATTTTAAAAATTTTATTGTAAAGATATTTTTTGTTATTATACTTTTTAAATTATTAAAGTTGATCATTCTGTTAAAAAGTAATACAATTTCTAATTTTGTCTAGATTTTTAGTTATCACACACACACACACACACACACACACATATATATATATATATATATATATATATATATATATATATATATATATATATATATATATATATATATATATATATATATATATATATATATATATATATATATATATTTATATATATATATATATATATATATATATATATATATATATATATATATATATATGTTTATATATATATGTAATTTAAAAAATTTTACTTTGTCATAAAGACTCCTGTAAGAATGGCAATACGTGCTTTTAGTTTGATTCTTGAAAATCCTGCAGAGGTTGGTTATTATTTTTTTATGTTTATATTAAATTCCAATATCAAAAAAATAATATTATATATTAAACTTAATTTAATAATATTAATCAAAAAAAAAATAGTTTTAATTCTTACTAACAGTCTAGGTACTAAAGAACTTTTCTGCTAATGTGTAAGTTTTTTAATAGCTTTTAATATTTTTCTTACTTTTTTTTTTTTTTTTTATTATTATAAAGAAATTCTTCAAACAAATCAAATTAATCTTTTTTTTTTTTATAGAGAGTTAACTATCTAATACAAAAGAACACTAATATTGTTTTATAGAAAATAATCTTCTAAAATTTAAAGCTAATGTTTTTTAGAAAATAATCTTCTAAAATTTAAAGCTAATGTTTTATAGAAAATAATCTTAAAGATTTTATATATTTTTATAAAAGGCTTATATTTGTTTGGCAGTTTGTTTGCATAGTTTAGTTTAAAAAGCTGATTTATGAAAAGTAGTAAGAAATAAGTTTAAAGAAACATTTAAATTAAAATTAAATGCATAATTCTTTGTTAAATTAATGATATGAATATTTCAACAATTTTGAGCATCATTAGTTACACATGTAGATAAGTAATTACTAAAAGACACTAGAACGATTTGAAGCAACCTGTATTATGTAACAACCTTAGTGTTGTGTCACAACATAAGTGTTTAAATTAAGTTTTATAATAATATGATATTATTTATATTATTAAATTTCACGCTAATTGTGTTATACTTATTTTTTTTTGTTTTTGCTTATTTGCATGTTAGTACTTTTATTCCCTGTATTCTGTTTTTTCTGTATTTTGTGTTTGCATGCTTTTGTTTCTTGCTAGTATAAAGTTATTCATGGTCTAACTTTATTCACATCTTTTTTTTCAGCACTAAGTTATTTAGTAATTGCATTTATGCATTATCTTTTTTTAGATTGCTTTAAATTGATGGTTCTCAAGGATTTTTTTGGGAATAACTTCAAAATCAATTTTAATTTTTGTGAGGTGTTTGAAATATTTAATTATAAATGCTAGTATTTAAAAGAAATTATCATTCTTAATTGACACATTTAAAAAGTAGGGAGTTTCATTTTCTGCCATCTTTGATTTATTAATTAAAAGAATCAAGTGTTTTTAATTAAAATAAACACAGGTATATTTGTTTTCAACATTCTTTTTATTTATAAAAATTTATTAACAATTAAAGTCAAAAAACAGTTGTATGATTTTAATACTTTATTCACAAACAGTTATTACACAGTTATTCTTAAAAAACTGTTCTTGAGAACCATTAATTTAAAGATTTTTAATGACAATTTTTAATGTTATTTTATTAATTTGTTTAATGTGTTCACATTCTATCAATTGCAAAGGGTAAAAAGTTATAAGTTAAACAATTTTTTGTGTTTAATGTAATAATTATATGATTTAAAATGCAAGTGCATAATTATGCAACCATAGGTTATACAGTTTTTTGAGTTAATTGCAACTAAACTTATTTTGCAATTTACTATTTTAATTTGGTGTTCCAATTTTGACAACTCTTCCCTATTTATGTTTAGATGTATAAAATTGTTATTAAAATTTTATTAAAAACTTTATTAAATTTTAGTTATCAGCAAATTGTACATATTGGATGCTTCAATCACTAAATGAGATGATTCGCTTTAGACAATCAAAACAATTATTTCGAAGAGGAAAGTATCAGACATTTATTAATGATTCAAACAATATTGTTTCCAAACTACTGTATATTTCTAAATGGTGGGTTTTTTATTTAAAAGCGTTTTTTAAAGATGTTTAGTTCTACCTAATATAATTTTTCAATCAAAATTAATTATTGCTTCTCAAATATTGTCAATATATTACCACCAATTACTTAAGTGATGATGAGAGAGTTAAAGAGAAAGAAATGGTTGATTACTTAAAAAACTGTTTTGTATGAAAAAAATGTATGAGTCAAGGAAACATGAAGGCCATTGAGAATTCCATTAGATTGATGTTTGAAGAAAAAAAGTTAACGAATGAAAATTTTTTAAGCATAAAGAAAAAGGTATGGTAAAAAAGATGCAGAAATAAGACTTTGCTGAATGAAAAATTATGAGTTTGAATTTTGCTAGTATTTGTAGTGAAAAGAAAGAGATAATATTGGAAGCTAGAGCAGGTAGGAGTACATTTTTAATGCCTTTTCGTACCTCGTCAAAAAAAGATTTGGCATTATTAAAGGAAGTAGCCCAAATATAATACTATTGTGATGAAAATTATCAGCGATGACAACTAAGTTTTGTTTATTTCAAAATTTATCAACCACTACAAACCTTAATCTGTAAGAAAAAAATAGATTTGTTGTTTGTTGTCTTTTTCAAAACATGATGACTTTGATCTAGTTAGGAGAATTTGTTTTACTTTACTGATTTTCTAATAGTTGGAAGGTTCAGAGCAATAGTTGGAAGGTTCAGAGCAATTTAATCTGTAATAGAGTGTTTCTATAGTTCTATAGCTCCAATAAAAAATAAAAAAACAATGGATGTTAAAGTTATAAATTTAATTTAAATTTAAGGAAATTACCATGCTCCTCTAAACAAGCTCCAGCTTTGGAAAATGTACTTAAAAGATGTCAAAAGCATTGACTTTAAATTTAATTTGAAGCGGTGACTTAAAAATTGTCAAAAGCAGTGACTTATTGCATGATAAGCCTTAAATTTATGTACATTGATGAAATAAGCATTTTTTGAGGTTTTATGACTCTTACTTTACAATTTTCTTACCGACAGGAAACCGCTCAATCTTTTCTGTGATAGAGTGCCATAGTCCCACACAAAAGAAGCAAGGAAATTTCATTAAGCTATAAAATAAGCAATTTTGTAATTTGTATCTTTTTATCTAAGAAACTCCACTCTGTGAACCTGGATATCTTATTAGATTTGGTAAAATAAAGATCTAGATTATACTGTTGACATCTTTCTGATTAGAAAAGTATGGTTCCCTTTTTTCAATTGCATTTATGAGAATGTAGTGTAAACTTCATGGCTCTCTTTTATCCCTGTATCAACAGTATTATACAAATAATATATTTTCCTATAGTACATAAACATATATGGAAACTTTGTCAATTATATGTGTGAGCTACGTATATCATTTGCTAATGATATGTGTAGTTCATTTTTTAAAAATGAACTGTATATATCTAAATAGTTGAAAAATAAAGCACATCTAAGCAGGAAGCGGATATTCAACTTACCTTCACTTAGCACGTAAAATGTTCAAAAGTAAACCTTTTATGTTTTGTTTCTACAAAATAGTTTTTTCAATCTTGAACTATAAATTGTTTATACTCTTGGCATCTGCAAACAACTCCTTAATGCCATTTTAATTAAGTAAATGTTTTTCAAATAGGATTTATCACTCTTTTATTTGCCAATAACATTAACTGAGATGTTGGTCCAATTTACTTGTACTTTTAAACTTGGTCAGTTTGTGAGGGTTTTATAAAATTTTTAGTTGTAGAATAAAAAAACAGTTTTAGAAAGTTTCTGCAAATTTCTTGATAATTTTAGCAGTTTTTAGGCTTTTCTTGATAATTCTAGCTTTTCTTGCTTATTTTCTTAATAATTTCATAGCTTTTCTTGATAATTCTAGCAGTTTTAGAACTTTCCTAAAAGAATTTTCTTGAAAATGCACAAATATTAATATATCGTTGTCCCAAGATAAAGTTATTTTAAAGATATTTTCTATTTTTTTTTTTGTCAAAGAAAAACTAACTTTTAAATAAATAAATAATTTTCAATAAAATTTAAGAGAGCCAGATTAAAAAAATCCTTTTAAATAGTTCTATCTTACACATACAGTATTAAGGTAATGAGATCAAATCCATGTGTGAGAGATAAAATAGGAGATTTTGTTTTATAAAAATAGGATTCTAAAAAAAGATTGCATCTTTGCATTTTTGCATTGATAAAAGATGTTTGTTCTCAGGAGAAATTGTGAAAAAGGTAAAAGAAATGATTGGAAATAACAACAGTAAAATAAAAAAGTTATATATATTAGTTCTATAATATATAACGTTGCTTATCTTATATATTATAGAGGTAGAATTGAACCTCAAACTTGGTTCTGAGCCAGAATTCTAACCACTATTGCCATGGCTATTATTAGTTTAAATTATAGATCACTTCTTGTGGGCATAAGTTTTTCAAACACCATTCTATGATGTTTATTTTGTTAAAACAAATTTGGATGTATTCAACCAAATTTTGGTAAAACAAATTATAATTATCATTGTAGTGCATCACAATTTAGCTTTAATAGATTAAATTTAATAAAGCTTTATCAATTATCTTATTGTATTAATTTTATTAAATTTATGTAAATCAAACTGAGTTTTTCTTATATCATTTTATTCTATATTTTTCTTCTTATTGTTTTGTTTCAATTACTTTTTTTTCAGCAAATCTATTGATGAGTTTAAGTTAATCTATCAATATCAAAGAATATTTATGAAGGTATTTTTTTAATTATGTATGTTTATATATTTATATATGTTTTTATTTTTTATTTATTTTTAACAGTTATTATTTAGTTTGTGATGCAGGAGTATTTTTTGAATGAAACAATAACAGTTCAGTCTGATACAGCACTAAGTGTGTTTGGCCATAAAGGTTTTCGAAAAAATTGGATCGTTCAACCTGACTTGATGATTGATATTAAAAATATTGGTTATATGTATTTGACAATTACATTGTTTAACAAAAGTTTTTGTTGGCTTGATCAGGTGATTAGTAGTTTTTTTTCCTATTATTACCAACATAACAAGTTTATCTACTCTATTAATATTAACATAACCAGTTTATCTACTCTATTATTAATAACATAACCAGTTTACCTATTCTAGTTGTCTCATGCTTTATATTCTTATTTAAAATACTCATACTTTTAACACACTTGTGTAACAATTTTTTTTTAAATTTCTTTAGCTATAGACTGAAAAACTCTTACAAATGCATTAATATATTTTTAACTATCATCTTTAGAAATATTTATCATCTGTGATTTTTGTAAGAATCAAGTTTACTGCAAAGTTTAAAAAGTCTTAAATAGATTCAGATTTTAGTATTGAAATTGAAATTTTTCTTATTAAAAAAAGAATTATAATAATCAAAGCATTTGAGTTATATAATTAGAACTATACAAAGTAAATGTTAAAATCATAAAATATATTAAATATATCATAATCATAAAAAAAATAATTTCCCCTAAATTTTTCTCCCTGGGTTTTGGTTTAGACAGTATGTATTTGTCAAAACCTAAATAAAATTCAGCAAAGAATAACAAAATCAATCACAGAAATCAAACATAAGCTTGAGGAGAGGCTCGGTATCCTTGGACTTAAAACTCTTAAAGAAAGAAGAAATCAACATGAGTTGATTCAGCAATTTAAAATTGTTCACAGTATCGAAAAAATAGAATTTGTCATACCACAAGTGTATGTACCATCAATATTGAATTACTGCCTACAAGGGCACAATCAACAGTTAGCTTAGCAAACAATCAAAAGTTGCAAAGAGAGGAAGTTAACCGCGTGGTAAATGCATATGAATCCATCAAATGCAGCCTATGCAGTCTTGGTAAATGCCTTCAAAGATCACATTTGTTCACAAAGAACAAATAATGGACACAGCACATGTCTTTAAGCTGTTAGCATAGTACCCAGTGAACATGTCCTATTGGGGCCCTTATGGGTTTGCCCAAGCGGGCCCTATGTTAGCCTACATGGGGTCCATTTCAGGCTCATATATGTAGTTAAAAAAACGTTACATTCCATTTTACTTTCTAAATTTAAAGTCATCTGCTTGTGCGATAGTGAGGCATTATTAATTGTGGAAAATCAGTAAAAGTCGACTTAGCCGCATGTTTATTTAAAGATTTGGTCCATAAATAACAAATAATCTTTTTCAAAAAATTTTCTTTTTATTTAACGTCAAATTATTTTAAAAACTTCGTAGTAGTGCTATTAATGTCATGTATTAGTGGTAGTAAGAGAGTTTTAAATTGTATTTGAAAACTATTTCTGTAAACATTAATGAGAACTTAAACAAAAAAGTTACAAAGTCAGTTTTAAAAGACTGGAAAATTTTTTTTTTTATGTATAAAAAGGTTTTTAAAAGTGTTTACGCTATTTGAGTTTTTATAAACCCACAAGCAAAAATGTAAACAAAATGACAGGTCTTGAAGATGATTATATGAAATTTATGAATTAGTTAAACTTTAGGTTTAAATTTACTTAATTAAATTTGACTACTACTCTTACTATTTTAACTACTTAAAACTACTGTTAACCTTTTTCTTCCTATATTTGATATTCTGTTTTACTTCTATAAAGCTAGACTCAAGTCATATATTTATGACTACATATTAAATTATATGTATCTAACTTATAAATAAAAAATTATTCAAAATATTATAAACAATTTAAATAAATAAAAAAGTGGGACCCATGTGGGTACCACTTTTTTATTTATTTAACCACATATGCAGCCCATATGCAGCCCATATGGGCTACCTACTTGGGCCCCAATTCATGCCCAGTGACAATTTTCCTTGGGCAGGATGTTGACACCCCATTTGAGCCCCATTAAGCTGCCCACTTGGGCACAACATGGGGCCCAAAATGACGCTGGCTGGGTAGTGCCTAGTGTTGCACTAATTCAATAGAAATTAATAAATTTTTTTTTTGTATTAAATATTTGATATAAATTCAAATTCAATTCATTCAATTTAATCTCAACTTGTCAATTATCTTTTGTAATTAGAGTAGTTTATGTTAAGATTAAATGTTTGGAGTTTTACACATTGCAATCAGCACTAATTAGAAAAAGTTAGTTACATTTTAATGATTATTTATTGTATTTATTTATATCTTAAATGCTTAAATTATGTCATTCATGTTTTTTAGAGTTCTGTTTACATGGTAGATGTTAACATATTAAATGATGACAGTCATCATTCAACAATGCTATCAAAACAACAAAACAGCTCAGAACATTTTTTTGATTTATCATTTAATATAACCCATGTGGAAACCACCTCTTATACTTTGGAATGGGGAAAAATTAATTTTCATGAGTTTATATTAAGTGATGAGGATGTTGAGAAATTTCATTTTATCTTTGAAATAAAGGAACAAAGTGTTGACTACCACAATTTTTATATTCGATTTGTAGTAAGGTAAATAAGTAATTTGTTTTGTGACATTTTTTTTGGTACATTTTATGTTATATTGTTAATGCATAAGATACCAGATAAAGTTATTTAAACATCAAATGTTTTATTAGATACAATTCAAATAAAAAGAATTTAACTTGGATATTTCAAGAAGAGTTAAGAAATCACAAATTTATATCTAGCTTTTCACCAAAAGATATTGGCATGAAATTATTATTTTTTATTACTATTATTACTATTATCATTATTATTATTGTTATTATTGTTATTATTGTTATTATTATTATTATTAATATTATTATTACTATTATTATTTTACTATTGTTGTTGTTGCTGTTGTTGTTGTTGTTGTTGTTGTTGTTGTTGTTGTTGTTGTTTTTGTTGTTGTTGTTGTTGTTGTTGTTGTTGTTGTAGAGTTATTATTATTATTATTATTATTATTATAATTGTAGTACTAAATGTTTAAATATTTATAACTTTAAATAGTAAATAAATAAGTAATATTATTTTAAAGAACTAAAACATTTAAAATATTATTTGCAGATGCATAATTTTTTTTATAAACATAAAATAAGTAAATTTTTAATAAAAAATTAGAATTTGCCTCATCCTTCAATGCCACATTTGAAATTGTGCCAACAAATCAACGAATTATTCAAAAATACAAAGTTTTTAGCGTAAGTGCTAAATTTTTTTTAAATTTGTTTTTCAAAGGTTTATGGAAATATTAAAATATAAATTATAATAGCTATGCTTTTCTATTTAAATCAAAATTTTGAATAAAAGTAAAATAAACACTTTTATGCAACATGTTGTTACCATGGTTATATACTTGTTATAATATTGAGTTATAATATTAAGTTATAATGAATAAGAAAAAAGTAATTTATTAAGCGTACTTTTATATATTAAGGGATGTTTAATTTTTTTTTGTTTTTTTAAATAAAAGTTTTGGTTTTTAAATGGCGCTAAATCAATCGTTAATTTAGTTTAAAGAAAATCCATGGATAAGTTACATGATATCTATGAAGAGTTCATTTTGCAAGCATTGGGATCCTTTTAAAAATTTTGTTCAATCGAAACAGTGTTATTTAGCAGATACATTGATTTCTTCAGAACTTGTGTGTCGGTAAAATTTAATTTTTTTTATTGTTAGAACAACACTTGGTGTTTTAAATATAAAAATGTTGAATAGGCAAAATGAAAATAAAAAAGATTCAATGAGCAAAATCAAAATAAAAAAGGTTTAATTTGGCAAAATGAAAAATACTCATTTTTTTTGAATAGTTGGCAAGTTAAAAATAAGTTCTATTGATAATTCTTAAACAACGTAGTTTCTTTTTATCATGAACTACAGCACTACACAACTGCATCACTACCATGCAGTGGTAGTAGAGCACTTGCTTTGTACGCAATTAGTACTGAGTTTGATCTTTATCATGTCCATGATAGTACCTTACTCTAATTCTAATAACTATAAGATCAAAATTTTTTTTTAAAGCCAGATTTTTTAAAGTTATTTTTCTTTTTCTTAAGAAAAGGTAAAAAAGAAATACAATAAAATAGTGATGATCAAATTTTTTAATAAAAAGAATTTGTATCAATAATAAGAAAAACCATTCAAAAAATATTAAAATTTTTTTTTTTTAATAATTTAAAAATATCAAAAGGATTATGTTATAGCATTATGATATTTTTTGAATTAAATATTTTTGTTATGACATGTATTTTTTTAGGGTATTTGTTTTGTTATTAAATTAAAATATATTGTGATATTGTATTTAAGCACACATGGTGAAAGTTTTTTGTTCTGAACACCATTAGCAAATGCAAAAAATCTTTTTTTAGATTCAATAGAAGCATCTAACTACATTACATTTCTACCTAATCTAACAAAAAAACTACATTTTATTAAGATTTCATTTTATTAATGATGTACTGATAGCACATTTTTGGCCAATGTCTATGGATGGGAAGAGGCCTATACCTATGCCGATTCCAATGAATTAACTAATTATTAAAATTTTGAAAAAATAAAACCATACAATTTTAAATCGTGTAATCTTTTTCATTGAAGCAGTTAAACAAATACTTGGACTCAAATCAGAGCAAATCCATTATTTTAAAAGATATTATAAATATACATTTTTAAGTTTTTTTTACTATGAAAAGAAAATTTTCAAAAAAAAATAATATAATTTTAGATGAATGCTTTTTATTTTAATTTTAAAAAGAAAATGGTACTATCATAAGCAGTTTAATTAAAATTCTTTATATATTTATTAGTATATATTATTTAGATATCTAAACAACATCATATCGCCGCTGCAAAGCAAAATTATCTTAAGTTTTTGGCAAAACTTTTTAGGTTTAAAATAATCCTTAGATGCACAAAAGTCTCACAAATTATGGAACCAAAATTGATTCAATTTTTGCAATTATGTGTAAAATTCAGATATCTTATATTTAGAAAATAATAATTAAGAGACATCGTTGCTGCAAAACAAGTCCTTAAGTCCATTTTTTGTCAAAAACAAATAACTGAAAACAATTAGATTTAATCTAAAAAATCAAATGCAGTTGTTAAATTTAAAACTTTGTCTTTTTCTCAGAACAGCCAAAACGGACTTGAGATGATGTTGTTTTGCAGCGGTTTTAGTTTGTAGAATTTTGTCATATTAACAAACGTAATGACCTAATCTAACTTTAAAGATAGTAAAAAAAATAGATAAGTTAACATTGAAATACCCATCAGATTTAATAGCTTCAAATACGAGAAGTCACAATATGAGGTTTCATAGACAATTAACTAAAAATCCAAAGAGGTACTATTTCTTAACAAACAGTGTTATTAACGGCTTGAATAACTTAGATCAAAAAATTGTAGATTCTAAAACACTTAAACAATTTAAATCAAAGTTGGACTTATTTTTAACATAAATCGGCTGTTAAAACCTAGATCAACTAGGCTCTGTACATTGTACATGTACACAGTTATTAAATAAATAAATAAATATTTTATATAATTTTGTAATTATCTCAAGACCATTTGACATGTTGCTTCTCAAAAACTTTAATTTTTTTTGTTTTTTATTTGTTATATTATGAAAAATAATAGCATTTTTAATAAGAATTATAAAAACAATTTAATTTAATTAAGAAGACCAAACACAGTGAAGAATTAAAAACTTAAAATGCCTTTTTATAAGAAAAGCAAAAATGGACTTAGGTTAGTTATGCAGCAACAATATGTTATTTAGATATCTAATTTATTTTTAATTTATTAAATTGTTTTTAGAATAATTTTATTTTTATGATGTTTAATCCCCACCACATCCCTGGTAGTACCACGCTCAACTTGTTTCTCCGCACAGCAGCCTTGTTTGTCAAGGTTTGTGTTTTGGAGTTATAAAGTTTAGAGAGGGTTGCAACTACAACTAAAGTAGCCTTGATTGGAGTGGCCTTTATGGCCTTGAAAAAGTGAATTTAAAAAAAAATAAAAAAATACATAGAAATGTAATAGGCTATACTTGAACACATATAGATAACAATGCTTAAATAGGTTATTTTTAAGTATAACAATAAAACTACACAAAGTAAAATTATTCTAAAAAAAAACAATTTGGTAATAAAAGTATAAGTACATTCAACTGTTAAATTAAAGCTTATAAACATCATCTTAAGAATAAACAAATTTGCCTGTAAACAAAGTCAAAATAAACAATTTCTCAAAAAAATTCTAAGTAATGCATATGGTTTAGTCAATTTACTATTTCGTTATTTTTATAGATGATTTGATGGAAGATTTATTAATTATAATCATAATTATTATCATAATCCAAGACAAATATAATTATTAATTATAATCATAATTATTAATCATAATCCAAGACAAATATAATTATTAATTATAATCATAATTATTATCATAATCCAAGACAAATATAATTATTAATTATAATCATAATTATTAATCATAATCCAAGACAAATATAATTATTAATTATAATCATAATTATTATCATAATCCAAGACAAATATAATTATTAATTATAATCATAATTATTAATCATAATCCAAGACAAATATAATTATTAATTATAATCATAATTATTATCATAATCCAAGACAAATATAATTATTAATTATAATCATAATTATTAATCATAATCCAAGACAAATATAATTATTAATTATAATCATAATTATTATCATAATCCAAGACAAATATAATTATTAATTATAATCATAATTATTAATCATAATCCAAGACAAATATAATTATTAATTATAATCATAATTATTATCATAATCCAAGACAAATATAATTATTAATTATAATCATAATTATTAATCATAATCCAAGACAAATATAATTATTAATTATAATCATAATTATTATCATAATCCAAGACAAATATAATTATTAATTATAATCATAATTATTAATCATAATCCAAGACAAATATAATTATTAATTATAATCATAATTATTATCATAATCCAAGACAAATATAATTATTAATTATAATCATAATTATTAATCATAATCCAAGACAAATATAATTATTAATTATAATCATAATTATTATCATAATCCAAGACAAATATAATTATTAATTATAATCATAATTATTAATCATAATCCAAGACAAATATAATTATTAATTATAATCATAATTATTATCATAATCCAAGACAAATATAATTATTAATTATAATCATAATTATTAATCATAATCCAAGACAAATATAATTATTAATTATAATCATAATTATTATCATAATCCAAGACAAATATAATTATTAATTATAATCATAATTATTAATCATAATCCAAGACAAATATAATTATTAATTATAATCATAATTATTATCATAATCCAAGACAAATATAATTATTAATTATAATCATAATTATTATCATAATCCAAGACAAATATAATTATTAATTATAATCATAATTATTAATCATAATCCAAGACAAATATAATTATTAATTATAATCATAATTATTATCATAATCCAAGACAAATATAATTATTAATTATAATCATAATTATTAATCATAATCCAAGACAAATATAATTATTAATTATAATCATAATTATTATCATAATCCAAGACAAATATAATTATTAATTATAATCATAATTATTAATCATAATCCAAGACAAATATAATTATTAATTATAATCATAATTATTATCATAATCCAAGACAAATATAATTATTAATTATAATCATAATTATTAATCATAATCCAAGACAAATATAATTATTAATTATAATCATAATTATTATCATAATCCAAGACAAATATAATTATTAATTATAATCATAATTATTAATCATAATCCAAGACAAATATAATTATTAATTATAATCATAATTATTATCATAATCTAAGATAAAAATAATAAAATGCCATTGATTGGAATATCAGTAAATTAATAAAAAAAGATTGATACCAATACCAATTCCAATTGTGAAAAAAGTGGCTGATTAAGCTGATACTGATTAATTTGTACATCACTACTGTAAGCCTTAATTACTTTTCTAATCAAAAGTATTAGATATACAAACTTTAGCAATAAATTTTTTAAAGTTAAATGCTGAAAGTAGTACAAAAAACGTTCTTATTTAAATTGTTTTTACTAAGTTTGATGTTTATTGGTATAGCTGGCATCTACTAAAATAGAGAAAGTCTGACTTTATGGAGGTAGTTCACCATTTTACTTTTACCAATAAAATTGAATTTTTGCAGATGTATTTAAATTGTGCACTTTAAAAAAAAGATGTTTTATAAAAAAGATGTTTTAGGATATTTTAAATTTTTTTTTGTATTAGTAACAAATTAAATTCAAAACAATAAAAGCAGCTTAGTACTTAGTCTCTCAAAAACAACATTTGTAGTAATATGTTTTATTAATCTTGTTTTAAAATTTTAATATTCCTAAACCAACAAGATTTACAGTATTGGCCATTAATAACAATCCATCATTTTATTTTAGTATGAATATAAGTTTAAAATTAAATATTTTGAAAACTAAAAGTAATTTTTTCCTGTGTTTTTTTAATTGAAATAAATCAAATAATCACAATATAAATTTATTAGAAAATGAAAAAATTAAAAAAAATTAAAAGCCAAAATAATAAAATTAGAACAAGTGTTTGTTTGAATAAAAAAAAATTTGGCCAAAATAAACAAACCACAAAAACAAAATGAACAAAGCCTAATAAAAAAACTTACAAAAACTTACAAAGATATTAAAAAAATATTAAAAAACATTTTTTTATTATCTTTGCTATATGTCCAGCAACATGAACACTTCCCTAATTACTAATGTAAGTAACATAATTTTTCTAGTAAATTGATCAAAAATTTTGAATGTTGAATATATCAATAAAACATAAAAGAATTAATATTTTTTTGACAATCCTTTTGCTTTTAAGCATTCAATGATATGTTTTGGCATAGAGTTCACTAAGTTCTGAGTAATCTATTTTCACTATTCAGTATTTTTGTGACTAATTCTTTCAGCTGGTCAAGATCTTTTATTTCAATTTTACCAAGATTGTGGTTTACCAAGACCACAAAATCTCTATGCAATTAAGATCTGGACTATTGGCAGGCCAATACATGGTTTTAATTTTGTTATCTTCAACCGATTGGTTGCAAATCTTAGCAGTATGGAGCATTGCCTTGTTGGAAGATTCCTATGTCTTTTAGGAAAATGTCAATAGAAGGCATTACATAATTATCCAATAGGTCTAAATATCTTTGAGAATTGGTCCTTCCATTAAATATTTTGAAACAACCCACACCTTCATAGTTCATGCAGGCCCAAATGCCTATATATTACCACTATCATGTTTTTCTCTATAAGTAGAACAATTTGGGTCAATGTTTTCATGTAGGTTTCTTCCCAGCATTACTTGGCTTTTTCTTAAATCAACCTCAACGTTTATTTCATCTCTAAAAAGAACATTGTGCCACATGCTCATACAACAAATTTTATAAGCTACACAATATTTTTTTCTTGTTTTCTGATGTTTTATCAATAGACGCGGGTTATTGCAGGCAGAACGTGTAGTGTTTTTGTAATACTCTTCTCTTTTAATTGTTTGAGCACTAGCAACAACACCAGAAACTATTTTTCCTTTTGAACACTAGCAACAACACCAGAAACTATTTTTCTGTTTGGACTGAAATCAATAGATGATAAACTTCTATTTTTTTTCACTATGCAAATAAGTGAATGTTCATTTCTCTTATTTGAAATGCTGAGTCTACCAGGAAATGAAAGATTTTGAATTGTATTGTATCTTTAATATCTGCTGATTATTCTGCTAAAAGTTGCAAGTGTTGTGTTAAAATGATTTTCAGTTTTTCTCATTAAGATGTTTTCTTCATTCATAACTACTATTTTACATTTTGTTATATTATTATACTTTTTCCAGTCAATTTGGTTGTTTTATTACTGAAATATTGTAGTTAATTAGATACTCATTTTTTTCTATTTCATTTTACCCAGGTTTTTCAAATATTTATACCAATTTAAATAAAAATTCTTAAATAATTATAAGTAGTTCACAAATAAGTGCAAAGCTTTAATCAACAAGTGAAATTTTGAAAGAAGTTTGAAATAATAGAGCAGGTTGTTAAATTTGGCCATAATAATTTTTATAGATTATGAGATATATGTCAAAAAAAAGCAATATAATTAACACATCAAATAATATTTTTATGAATATCTATATTTATTTAAAAGAAAATAGAATGCTCATCAATATACATTTTTTATATTTAAGAAGAGTCAAACAATCATTGATTTAATATCAATCAAATTTCAATGATATCAAAGAAAACCTGTTGGGTTGTTATTAATGGCCAATACTGTAAATATAACTTTTGTTATGAATATATTTTAATCTATTTTTTGGAATAAGTAATTATTTTTGGTTATAACTTTCTAAAATTAATTTGAATAATAATTCTTAGGTGTAAAGGAAATGGCTTGGTGACAGGATATGTGAAAACACTTGACCAACAACATTTCATTATGATACCAGTACACAGGTTTGATGTTATTGTTTTTTGTTTTAATAAAAGATAGAAATAAATAATATTTCACACACACAAACACACACACACATATATATGTAATTTTCAAGTTTAAAATTTCTTTTTTAAACATCTTCACTTCCAACAAAGCTACAAGCAACCACTATTAGACTTGGAAGTTACTGGAAAAAAAAAATATAATTTATAGAATAAGGTAACAATTGACAGATGACTTAAAATATTCCAAATTATATGAATAAGGAAAACAAAGTGAATTCCAAAGAACTGATGTTTGAGGAAAAAAACTAGATAAATAAGAATTTTCGAAGCGCTTTGGAAAAGTCGCAATAAAAGGATGAGACTTAATTGAATGACGAGAAACATGAGCATGAATTTTAGTAGATAGCACTAGAGGTGCTAGCTTTTAAAAGCTGTGTCCATTATAGTATTTATAGAAAAAAGAAAGAGAAGCAACATTACAATGATGTGACAATGGTTGAAGATTGGCTGCAAGGGCAGGTCCAACTATGCTTACAATGCGTTTTTGCACCTTATCTAAAAGAGAAAGGGCATTATTCGATGATCCGCTCCTGATATGTCAACAGTATTCCATACAAGAAAAAATTTGTAATTTATAGAGATAATGAATAGAATCCAGGGTAAAAAAGTGGCAAGCATGATAAAGTGATTTATCTTAGCAGATGCTAATTTTGCAATGGGTTTAATCTATGGTTTCCAAGAAAGATTAAAAGTAAGAGTTATTCCTATAAGATAAATGGTAAATGACTCAATGAGTCATCTACCATCACAAATATATGAAGATCTAGATTATTGCAATTAGCTAAAAAAGTTTTTAATCCAAATTAAAGTTCACCAGCCACTGAGAACTAAATGCTGTAACAGAAATGAGATTCTTTTTAAGTTCCAAGGCCCCCTCCAAGCAATTAGAGATTGTTGGAAGCAAGAATAAATAACAGTATCATCAGCGAACAATTCCACCATAGATGTGAAAACATCTGGAATATAGCTAACGTAAATTAAAAAGAGTATACGGCCAATGATAGAACCTGGAGGAATCTCTAAAGTTAAAGAAAGTATAGAAAAGTGCTGTCCATTGAGGACAACTTTTATACTATGATTGGTAAGAAAGGATTCAATAATGTTAAAGATTTTACCTGATATACCATAAGAAGAGAGCTTGTAAAGAAGACCAAAGGCTTTAAAAATCCATATTGATGATCAGAAAGCAAGTTGTTAGATTCAAGACGAGACTAAGTGTTAGTTAATTATAGACCCAAAAACTTTGCTTATGATAGGAAGAAGGCTAATGTTATGGTAGTTAGACAAGTCAGATTGTTTTCTATAGTTTTTAAAAATAGGAATGCTTTTTTCAGCAATCTGGAAAACAAGACTCTAATAAGCACTTGTTAAATAGTATTGAAAGTATAGATGACATCTCCACAGAACACTTCTGCAAGACTATAACAGAGATATTGTCATGACCACAAGGTGCACAAGAGTATATTCAGGATATCACTTTAAATACAGAAGCTAGAGTGATATGAACATCAAGCAATCGATTAACCTGTTATATTGGCTATATCAGGTAGAACTTGACTAGTGGAATCAAGAGAATTTTTAGCAAACAATTCAGCTTTTTTTTTAGGTGAGATGACAAAATCTGAACCATACAAGAGAGATAGCTATATAAGAGAATAACAGATTTGCCCTTATTATAAATACTATTAAAGATTCTTCAGAAGTCACAAGAGCCTAATTTTTGTGACCTAAGAATAGTTCGCTTTGGCGTTAGACAAAACTTTATTACAATGGTTTCTAGCAATAGTGAAGAGACACCTGTTTTCTGAAGAATTGCTTTGTTGATAAATATAAACATAATGGTTACAATTGGAAAATGCAGTAGCACAATGAGAGGAAAACCATGGAAAAAAGTGAGGCTTGACTTGGATTCATCAATAGGGAATAAATGATTTCATGCTAGCTTGAGTCCAAAAAGTTACATAAAAAGCGCATTAGTCAGCAGGAAGACAAGAGACTTCTATCCCATGGCCATCATGAATCACAGAAAGAGTCCCAGTCAGTTTTAAGGTAGTTGTAAGAGGTGCTATAATAAGGGGATTCTGGAGATGAAGAAAAATTAGATAATAGGTTTAGAGAGATCAAACTGTGATTAGAAGCACCTAAAAATTAATGTGGAGAAACTAAGCACTGACAAGCATTAGAAACAAGACATAAGTCGGGTAAAGAAGGTTAATAATTCAGATTGTCTTGAAAGCGAGATGGAAATTGACTATTTGTGTTAGAGATTGAGAAAGGCAAAAGTTGTGGGTCTTTTGACACCAGAGCCAAGTCATTCAGTGTTATGAGCATTAAAGTCACCAACAACAATGATGTTGGCAGAAGGATAAAAAAAAGGGCTAGGTCAATTTAATCAGAAATAACATCAAAAAAGTGCAGTCTTTAGATGAAGGTGAGCAATATAAAACAAACAGAAAGGAGAGTGAAGTGGTGTTAAATGAAGTCTTATAAGAGAAGAGTCTGAAAATTCAAACCTAGTTTCCTGAAAAATGGGTGAATTTTTATAAATGTAAATGTCCAGGCCTAGCATGTGACTGTTGGAATCTTAAGGAATTAGGGAGTCTTAATTAAATTTTTTTTTATTTTTTTTTTTAATTATCTTCACTTCCAACAAGGCTGCAAGCAACCTCTAGTTAGTGTTGGAAGATACTGGAAGAGAAAAGATGAAGATTGTAGAGCAACATAACGATTGATAAACGACTTAAAAGATTGCAAATTGTATGAATCAGGAAAGCAAGATGAAGGAAGCGAATTCCAAAGAACTGATGTTTGAGGAAAAAAACTAGACGAATAAGAGTTTTTGGAGCACTTAGGAGCAGTAACAGAAAAAGGATGAGACTTAATTGAACACGAGAATGAATTTTAGTAGATGGCACAAGAGATGCTAGCTCTTTCGAGCAGTGCCCATTATAGTATTTGTAGAAAAGAGAAAGAGAAGCAACATTACGACGATGTGACAGAGGTTGAAGGTTGGCTGCAAGAGCAGGTCCAACTATGTTTACAATGCAATAAATTAGTCCTAACAAAAAGGAAGATAACCATCAACAAAAGATCACAAGATAAGGCAGCTGAGCTCAAATTAGTCTCACATAGAGAGAGTAGGTTTGGTGAACTTTGCAAGCAATAAGACGCAAAGAATTCTGGTATTTTTTAACTCGTCAAGTTTGGCCTCAATCAAATTTGGTTTTTTAGTTGGACAACCATCCATTAAATTTGCTTCAAACAACCTCCAGACCGATCTTTTAGAGATGTTGATTTGTTTTTATTTGTAGTTTGGTGAGGTACAATGTTTTGGATTTTTAGGCAGCTTCTGATTTTACGGTCACAACATGAGGTCAATCTTGTAGAGGCACATTTGTATTAATTTTTTTTTGATTTGGTTTTAACTACTGACTTTAATATATATGTATATATATATATATCTATATCTATATCTATATCTATATCTATATCTATATATCTATCTATCTATCTATCTATCTATATATATATATATATATATATATATATATATATATATATATATATATATATATATATATATATATATATATATATATATATATATATATATATATATATATATATATATATATATATATATATATATATATATATATAGCAAGATGTATTATGGTTTGTTTTTTTTAAAAAAAAAAGTGAAAGTTAATATAAAAGACTGGAAAAAGTTTAAAAGCCTAAAATTTTTTTTTTAATTGATAGATTGCTTGCCTAAACCCATTCTCTCAGCACTCAAAGCACTCAAACTGGCCCATTTTTATTTTATACTACTTTTCTGGTGCTCAACAAATATTTATATAACTTTTTTTAAAGTCTTACTAATTTATATAGAGTATATTTATATGCATAAACATCTAGTTAGGAGGCACTTGGGTTTGTATTTGGAGGTAGTTTTGTCTTAATGTTACAGAATATTTTTTAAATTTGAAGCTGATGTGAATATAACTTTTATGCTTTGTTTCCTAAGTTATTTTCTAAGTTTAAGATCAATGTTATCAATAGTATTAATGGTAACTAATTGGTATCAATGGTAGCTTTATAAATGATTGGTTGCCCAATGATTGATTTGTGGTTTGAATTTTTGAAATTGTTTTTACATAGTCCTTGTCAATATTAGACTTTACTGTGCCCATTTTCAACAATTAAATGTTGAGACATTTTCTTGATGGAGGTGTTTTCTTTTTGACAGTTATATAATTAGACTTTTTAATTATGGTAAAAGTTTAATTGTTAAACTGTTAAAAATTTATTTAACTATTAAAAATTTATAAATTGGTATAATTTTTACAGGTTTGCTTCTTGGGCAAGTCAGCATATGCCTAAACCAAATCTCTCAGTTGATTGTTAAAAAACTTTGGTTAAAAAAAGCTTATTTGTTTGATAACGCTCCCCCAAAAAAATATTCACCTGGACTGCCTTGGGAAATAGTTAAACACTTTTTGCACAACAAAAAACTCTTTGAATATGCCAGTGATAATATTAGGATTGATGTTTGTAATTGCTTCTTTTGGATGTATTTGAAATTCATAAGCTCCATGCAAACATGCATGCTCCATGTTTGCAGTATTATTACCTTATAAATTAAACTTTTAAATTCAACTATGTATTTTATGGCAAGATTATGTTAATTAATATAATTATGATTAGAAGATTATGTTAATTAATAGGATGTTTAGAAACATTTGTTGTTGCTTTATTGAATCAAAATAAACGTGACAATTATCTACATATCTTTTGTAAGTTTTTGCTTCAAATATGTGAATAGTAGCTATACTACAGGCTTTTCTTTCTGTATTTTGTAGAAACGCTTCTGTCATAACAAACCTATAGGACCTGATTTAGGTACTATTTGGATTTTGCTAAGTTAATGGGTATGGATAGATATAGATTAATTATGTCAATTGAAACTTGAATTTTATTGGGAACATTATTTCTATTGCCTGGCTTTGAATTAATAAGGCTATTTTTATTTAGTGTTTGCTAAATAATTTTAACAAGATAATTGGATGTTCCAATATATTTAATTTATCATTTAATTTTTTACTTGAATATAATCTGTGTTTTGCTTTATTATGAACATGAACTAATAGCTTATCTCTGTATTCCTTTATTATGTTTTTGCTTATTTAGTATGTAATGAAGTTTTTATTTAAAACAATTTTAAAGGTAGTTATTTGATATACACTTTTAAAGGAAATCCAGTTGGATTTTTGCTTTAGCATTTCGTATTTTTAAATTTTGCAACATTTTGCTATCATTGTAAATCTTTTTGCCATAAAAAGCAGTAATAAATTTTTGAAAAAAGTAATTTTCTTTTTATATGTATGTGTAGAATTTAATAGATATGGTTGCATTGTAATATAAACAATTTTTAAAAATATGTATCATATTTTATTATGTAAATATATTAGTTATTGATTAATATATATATTTTAATATATATATATATTATTTGATATTTTGCTGATCTAGATCAGCAAAGTATTCATATTTTTGTCATAAATAATAAACTTAATAAATATAATGAGAAACCAGAAAGTATAAAAGCCATCTTTATGTATTTGACTACACTAAATTATTTCATGTAACGAAACATTTAACTAATACTGTTAATAAAGTGGAAAACCTATTCTAGAACCTTTTTATTTTGAAGTTTTTTTTTTACTTGATATTAATTTTGGGGCTTAATGATAAGACTAAATTTGTCTTCTTCTAGCCCCGGTCATGTAATTATTTTTTTTATAAGTTACGACTGTAAATTTTTTTTTATCGGCAAAAGTGTAAATAAATAAAAATATAATTGTATTACTTCTAAAGTATATTGTTCACTTTTTTTAGATTCAAGAAAAGCTTTGTAGTAATTGCAGGGATTGTTTTGTTGTTAGCACTGTTTTTTATCATGATGGCTTACTCATGTTATGTTTATAGAAATTTTCCATCTTATAATGTTGTCATAGATTTACCAGATAATCTTTCTTGTGATAAGTATATGTAAGATTTTTTTATTTTTCAACATTTTTTAAATTAATTTTAAAATAATGTGCAAGTAACAGCATGCTAGTGAGGAGTGGCTGCTTTATGTGAGGAGTGGCTGCTCTTACTTTTATTAGGTAATGGCTGCTCTTATTACACATTGAAATTTTAATATAATTTAAGTTTTTAATTTTAGTTCAATTTAAATTATAGGATGCAAAAAAAATGAAGAGAAAAAATGAAGAGTTACTTTAACAAACTCTTTTCAGCAGACATTGCTGAAGTAAAAACTAAAAAAATGAAGAGTTACTTTAACAAACTCTTTTCAGCAGACATTGCTGAAGTCAAAACTAAAAAAAAGCAAGTAGTATTTTATTTGTAACTTTAAAATTGTAGATACTACATGGCAATTGAAACAGGTCATTCATATGGTTCTGGAACTTCTTCAAGAGTAATATTCTTTTATTACTTTTTTTTGTTATAATTATTTGTTTGTTTATGTTTTTATTATATATTTTGTACAGTTTAATATATGTTGGTAAATTCTTAGTACGATTTCAAAGCTTTTATTGCTAAAGTATTTTATTTCTAAAGGTTTTAAAAATTTGATTCATATAGTATGTTTTTCTTAAACACTTTGGGATTCTCTTGTGTTTTTTTGACTCATACAAATTATGGCTTTTCAAGTCTTCTGTCATTTTTTTGTTTTATGCTTTGTATGTACTTACTTTAATTGCATTTATTGTAAACACTTATTGTGTTAACAATAAAACATGAAATCTGTGCAATGTAGCTTATGTAACTTTCTATCATTTTTATAATACATTTTGAAAATTTACTGTTTTTAGATATGTGCTGTATTATATGGAGAAAATGGTTGTTCACAAAAGTTTGAAATTACTTGTAGTGACAAAAGATTTATGTTTCAGAGATCATCTACTGATATTTTGCTATTGAGGTTATCAACAATTTATTTTTGTTATACCTTTTAAAAGATCATTGGATTAGATACAAAACTGATGTCAACACAATGTTTTTTTTTTAACAAGTTTTATAAGGTTTTTGGAATTTTATACATCATTTACTCCAGGTAGAAATTATGACTAAAAAAAAATCATCATTATCAACTTTATGTAAAACCTCTCATTTATTTACTATTAAAACTTTTGTCTTATAGTCAGTTTTGCTTCTTGCTTCATCCATTTAAAAAAAATAGTTAATTAAAAAAAGTCTAATACCTTAAAAATAATTAAAATTACTAAAAATTTTTTTTGTTATTTTACAATTTAGTTTATTTATTCAGTTATTTGAAAATATGTCTTTTGGTTTTTTCTGTTTACGGACTGTGTGAACATAAAATGTAGTGACTCAAATGAAGTGATATAAAAAACATAATAAACTTTAATTGAACATAAAAATATGAACACAATAAACTTAATAAAAAATGTTTATAAATAGCAGTTCAAAAAAAATTTCTTAAATTATTCTAATTATTATTGTTTTTTTAATGTATAATGTTTATTATGATAAGTTATATTGATAAATAATAATTAAAATAAATAAAATTAATAATTCAATATGAATCTTTATTATGTAACAGAAACCTACCTAAGTTGAAATAATAATTTAATGATTAACTTGCATAAATTAAAAAATAACTATAAAAGCTTTTTGATGCAACATTTATCTTTTTATCTGCATTTCACTTTTGTCATATCCTGATTGTTTTTGTCATATCCGGATTGTTCACGGGATTATATCTCGTGAACAATCCTGATACCGCAGGATTGTTCACGGGATATAGGCAAAAATTATAAAAAGTTTTCCCTAGTGTAGCTAGTTGATTGCTGTAGTTGATTGCTTGAATAGTAATTGCAATAAAATAAGTTCTTCTTGATTACACCCTTATTTTTTATATTCTAAAAAACAGCAAAAATCATACACTTTTTAAAGAAACTCAGTCATTGAAAGCAAAAACTAATCGCTTTTCATTAATAAACTGCAATATTAATGCTTTGGAAACAATTATAAGTTGGAAAAATTATGAATCTTTATTGATAGTGCTTAAGTTTTATGCACGAAAAATTTTTTAATTGGTTTTTGTATTTTCATCAATGATTTTTTTAAATTATTTATTTGTCTAAAATGCAGTACTCTGGTGATATTTACAATCTAGAATTATTTTATTAAATGAATGAATACATTTTTGCTGATGGTTTTCAAATTAATGTAAATAAAATTTAAGAAAAATAAATGTCATACTGTTTATCCCAAAGTAAAATTTTAATAAAATTTGAAACTTTTTGTTGAGAAAAACTTAATAAACCATGGGAACTTGATAAATAATAATATAAATAGTAATAAAAACTTTATAAATAAATTATAAATAATATTAAAAAAACTATAAATAAATTATAAAGTAGTTTTTTGAAACAAAATATTTTTTAGAAAGAAAAGTTGATTTAAAAAACTTTGAATATAAAAATGAAGAAAATTGGAATAATTATTCCTTTCTTTTTTTTTTTTTTTTTTTTTGTTTGATTCCTCTAAGAATAAAAAACTTTTATACCTACTGATTCCTCTGCTTGTTTATTGTTTATTGATTCCACTGCTTGTTTATAATTTTGTTGGAAATTTACCAAATCAAAATATAATAATCAAAATATTTAAAAATAATCTAAAATATGCAATTTTACAGATGTAAAATATTATATACTTATTGTTTGTATCTTTATGTTTTGTATATTTAAGTTTATGTTTTGAAGATGTAAAATTATTTTATTGACAGTTTTTTATTTTATTAGGTGCCCAATTGATTTGGGGCAATTAACACACCTTTTGCTATGGCATAACAATCAAGGTAGCTCTCCAGACTGGTATCTTAAACAAGTTATTATTAAGTCACCTTGTGGTTATTAGTAAGAAAATCTTTCAAAGTTTTAAATCAAACTATACTTATCAGGTTTTTGTTGTTTGTTGATTATTTTATTGTTTTTTTAGTTATTTTGCTTTAAATAATTGGCTTTCACTGTCACGTGGCTTACACAAGATACACTGTAATTTAATTGCTACTTCTGAACCATGTACATCAAGATTTCAGGTTTTTATTACTTAGTTTTAAAACCGAGTTTCCATGTAAACTAGATAGTTGCCATGTAAATATTAATGAGATAATTTTACTTTAAGATAACTTAATAAAAGTAGTTTAAATTTTAATTTTTTCATTTGATGAGTACTTAAATAATATTTTCAAAAATTATGTATAGATTTATTTAGATTTAAATTTTTATTTAAATATATACTGTTTAATATTTTGCTGCTATATTGAGATCAGCGTCATTAGGTATAATAAAAAAAAAATTGTTACAAAGAAAATTGTTATATTAAAAACAAACCATTAAAAAGATAACTTTAAAAAGAGTATGAGAAAATACAAAATAGGATTTAAATGTTGATGTCAGATAATCTATTAAAAAAGTCTCCATTTTCATATTATCACTATTATCTCCTTTAAGAACATTTTTGCAACTTCCCAAATCTTGTCAAACTTTAGCTTTGTTTATTTTTTAGTGATTCTCAAATTTTTCCAATATGATATTCTGGAGCAATTGATATGGTTTTGAAATGTAATCAGTCAAGCGCACCTTGGCATGATTTGAAATATTCAGTAGCACCTAAACTAGCCCATTTTCCTATCATTTTCAAATTTGAAGCTGATGTGAATATAACTTTTATGTTTTGTTTTTTAATTTTTTTTCCAAGTTTGGGATAAGCTACCATGGATACCAAAATTGGTATCCATGGTAGCTTTATTAATGGTTGGTTGTCAGTTGGTTGAAAATTGGTATTTTTCAAATCTAATTTTTTATTCTGGCAATATTAATTAAATTGTTCGGTCGTGTTTTCAACATTAGAAATTAAATCACTTTCATTAGAAAATCAGTTTCTTGATGGAGGTATATTTCAGTGTATATTTTTTTTGTATGGCCTAATTATTATATTAATTTTGGCACTGGCCTATTCAAAGGGTTTTTTGAATAGGCCAGTGCCAAAATTAGGATAATGTTTGAGTTGAATATTAGTTATTGCTTCTTTTTAATGTGTTTGAAATTTATGAGCTCTATGCATCATGTTTTTGTATTAATAATATCTAGAAAATTAATTTGTTTTTGGTGGTTTTCAAGTTCAACAGTGTATTTAATGGCAAGGTTCTGTTAATTTAGGATATTTAGAAACATTTGTTGTTTTTTTATTGAGTTAAAACGAGCGTGACAATCCTCTATCCTCATATCTCATGAAAGTTTTTGGTTCACATGTATGAATAGTAGTTATATTAAGGGGTTTTTGTTTCTATATTTTGAAGAAATGCTTCTTCCATAACAACCATTAAAGGCAGATCTATAGAACCTGAATTAGGTATTATTCAAAATTTTGTTTCCAGATAAAAAATAGCAAATACTCAATGAAAGTTCTAATTATTAGTCTACAAGCAAAAGTTTTGTTCGAGCCTTTAAGTTGTTGATGTCATTATTTAATATATCAATAATAACTGAAATAGTTTTGTTTCTAAGTATGGACATGGATATAAATTAACTATATTAAATGAAACTTGAACTTCATTGGGATCTATTTTCCATGCGTGGTTTTATTAACAAAACTATTTGTTTTATTAACAAAACTAATTGTTAATTCTATTTTTGTTTTTAACTAGTTTTTGAATGATATAAATAGGGTTTTCAGATGTTCCATATGACGTTGTGATGATTGTTGATACAGTAAGGATATTATCACCAAAATAGGAAACCTTTTCTTGAATTTAACTGACTTAAATTTTCCAGTGCACCAAAAGCTTCACAAGATTTTTAACAGAAACACTGTCAAAGTAATATACATTTGCATGCCAAATATCAGTACTATTATCAAGTTGCACAACCAACACATGTTGCGGTTTAAAAAGTAATACTGTTAGAAACTGCAACTGTATAAATATATTTGTTTATGCGACACAATGATTGCAAAAAGTGACCAGCAGAGCCTTCCAGTTTCGTAGACCTGGGAGATGTGATAATAAAAACAGTTTGTAGATAGTGTCATTGAATAAAAATTAAAAATTAAAAGAAAATATAAAATGAGTGGTAAGACTTTTGTGAAGGTGAAGAACAAATTTACATGCTCGGGGGGCAGGGGAAAAAACAACTAACTCTCTAGTCACTCTGCATGTAGATCATATGTAACAATTTGATATACTGATTTTAGAGACTGTTGATGTCTACAGGTGTCATGGTGTTGTTCATTAGTACGTACCGTTTGGTCATCTAGAATGGTCTTGTTATGTTTTTGCTCACTTTCAAATCGGGTGAATAGGAAGTTAAATACACTCCTTGCGCTTATGGGCTGGCACATCAGAGCCAGACATAAGACCTGCAGAATGGATTTCAATTGATCAAATGTACACATTAGTCACAGTAGGCCATAAACCATCCATCTTAGCCAAAAGAGCTATTGCCCCGTGCTGGTGTGGAATGATGTGCTATGGAGTGAGATTTCAGATCCGAGCACATAGTCAGCAAATGCTGATCCCATTGCATTGTGGAGATTCTGACTGAACGTGTGCGTGAGTGTCAGCATAGTCATTAAGTTATTGATTGCCATAATCACATCCAGCGAGATGTGATTACGGCAAAGTAATCACATCTCGCCTAAAGTGCATTTAGTCGTTGTGGTGTACATTGGAAAAAGTCGGGGCTCACCAGCCATAAAGAAGAAATTTTTTTGTTTATGCAACAAAAAATTGGTCCGACCAATGTTTTACAATAATTTTGTTTGAGGATGTTTTTTTTTTTTTTGTTATTACACTCGAAACCATTACAGATGGCAGGTGTTTGACAGTTTAAATGGTGTGTTTCTGTTTAAACATTTTCCTACAGGAGGTTTTCATAACAAGTCCCTGAATGTTAAGTTTCATTTAATAAATTTGTAAATAGGTGTTTTATCATTATAAATGTTTGTGTTTTATTTTTTGGTATGTATAAATAAGTATAAGTATAAGAGACAAAAAATATAAATAATGAGTATAAATATACAATTAAAAATAAAATAACCGCAATTTTTTGATGTAGGCTACTGATACATACAATTAGCAAGGAAAAAGTGTTTATGTGCAATCAAATACTATATATAGACAACACATTAGTGACCTCATCTACTAAAGCTTATAAATTTAGTAGTTATTACTATATTTTCAGCTTATAAAAAAGTGCTGTAATCTGTATATGCCAAAGGTGCACACTATTGGATTTATTTGCTATTAGGCTCAATGTTTCTATTAGTTTTATTATACTAAAGTAATTTATGTGTTTTATAGAATTATATTGTATATTATATTACATTATATAGTTTGAATAATTTTAGATATTAGTTTTAAGGTTTTTTTACTTTTTCTTTTTAAATTTAACGTTAATGAATGTAAAGCTTTTAAAGAGGTTGATTTTTTCTTTTAGTTGTTTCTTGAGAGTTATATCGATTACAACATTTGGTTGTCTATACTGCTTGGCCCAGTGGTTTCTCAGTTTTCAATGAGCAAGGTAAAAAATGTTTTTTTCAAAAATCTTGCATAGATTTATGAAATTTTTTTTTTTATATTTTATCTTTGAGTCATTTTAAAATTGTCATTTTTGAAAATGTTCAATTTTTCTGCACATATAAATACTACCTAATCTTTACATATAAAAACTTCCTAAAAAAGTCCTAATCTGCCAAACAGGTTTGTGCCATTAAAGTATACAACACCCAGTTAACAATGAATAATTTTCTAAACCACACAAGCATGGAACCACAAACAAAAAAGTTGTTTAAAAAAAATTTGGATCATGCTTAGATAAGTTTTGTACTAAAAATGTGGTAGTGGTGTAGTGGTAAAACGCTTGCTTCATAGGCGAGAGGTTCCGAGTTCGATCCCCACCATGTCCCTGGTAGTGCTGCACTCAATTTGTTTCTCCGCGCAGCGGCCTTGTTTGTCAGGGTTTGTGTTTCAGAGTTATAGAGTTGAGAGAGGGTTATAACCACTATTAAGTAGCCTTCTCATCTGTAGTGGCCTTGTCGGCCTTGAGAAGGTAAATGTATATATATATATATATATATATTCTCTTCCACAGCATGTTTCTCCAATTTTTATATATATACATATATATATATATATATATATATATATATATATATATATATATATATATATATATATATATATATATATATATATATGTATATATATACAGTATTATTATTATGTATATGTATATATATATATATGTATATATATAAATTAGTAGAAAATCACTTAGCAAAATTTTTTTTTATTTTTTTTAATTTACATATATATATACATATATATGTATATATATATTTATATATATATATATATATATATATATATATATATATATATGTATATATATATATATATATATAAATATATATATATATGTATATATATATATATATATATATCTATATATATATATAAATATATATATGTATATATGTATATATATATATATATATATATATATATATATATATATATATATATATATATATATAAATACATGCATAAATACATACATAAATATATATTCATACATGCATACATCCATACATCCATACATACATACATACATACATACATACATACATACATACATACATACATACATACATTCATACATACATACATACATACATACATACATACATACATATATATATATATATATATATATATATATTTCAATGGTTGATGATTGCCGTATAGGCATGAAACTTAAAGTACCGTAATAATTTTTATTTTTTTGTTAATGTATATATATGTATATCATTCTATTTGAAATATCTTTATAATATTGAGCACTCTTTTACGATTCAGAGTTTTGTTTTATTATTAAATATTAAACAGCCTTAATTATCAGAGAATATATATATATATATATATATATATATATATATATATATATATATATATATATATATATATATATATATACATATATATATATATATATATATATATATATATATATATATATATATATATATATATATATATATATATATATATATATATGTATATATATATATATGTATATATATATAAATTATGTTAGTGTATTTTAGTACTAACTTATATATATATGTATATATATATATATATATATATATATATATATATATATATATATATACATACATATATATATATATATATATATATATATATATATATATATATATATATATATATATATATATATATATGTATATGCTTAAAAATATTTTATTTTTATAACTAGTTTTTCTTTTTTAAAGCGTTTAGGTTATTTACTTTCAAAGATTTTGTTTTTTACTTCCGGATCTATTGTTTTATTTAAAGAAGAAATTAACAAAGTAAAATTTAACTTTTTTTTTAAATCAATAATTTAACTATTTAATAATGAACAAAATTAAATATTTGACAATTTTTCAATTTAAAAAAAACTTCTTTTTGTTATTAATATCATATTTGTTATTATGATTTTGGTTTTTATTATTGTTATAGTTATTATTATTAATATTAGGTTATGATAATATATGCTTATAGATAAGGCAGAATTAGATATCTAAAGTTTATCATTTTTAAATGCATGCTTTAAGTTTTTCAAAACTTTTCAGCTAGTATAACACATGTAAAATAAAGTTTTAAATAAAATTATTTGATATTGACGTTTGTTGGTTCATTCATAAATGTTGCAATATTAAATACAACAATTAAAAAAAAATTGGTTTTGACTTTCTTGCTCAATTTATATATAATAAATGATTTATACATTTTTACTTTTTTTGGGAGAATTTTAATTTATTCCATTACAGAACAAAAATGATCCAGATGAGTGATGCTTCAGCATCTCTGAATCAGTTTTTTTTTATTTGTAATTTTTTTTTTCAAATTGATACATTTTTATACTTAGTTAATACTTTTTTTTTTTTTTTTGATGTTAAGTATTTAGAATAGATGGAATAACAAAATAAATAATCTCTTAACATTTCAGGAAAAGAAGATTTCAATAGATTTTTATAAAACTCATCTAAGTTAAATAAGTTTTAAAAATTAATTTCCAGATATTTATGGTTGATCCAAATTTGGTTTTATTTGCATCAAGTTTGTTTAAAAGGAAAACTAACAAATTAAAAAAAGAAAGCAAATTAAGACTAATATAGAATTAATTTAAATAAATATATATTTGAATTAAAGATTTTATACTAAAATAAGTGAAATTACCATATAAAAACTTTTTTTTTGTGTCTACCATTTTGGTTTGCTAACATTTTTATGACTGTTTTCATATTGTTTGCAGTTTTCAACGTTATTAGGTACATAACAAAATATTTTTTTTTTCAAACTAATTACACATAATATGTGTAATTAGTTTGAAAAAAAAATACTCATTAAAACGTATATAAACTAATATATTCATTACAACGTGTATAAACTAATATATGAACTAGTTTATGAAATATGCTATCATCATCATCATCATCATCATCATCATCATCATCATCATCATCATCATCATCATCATCATCATCATCATCATCATCATCATCATCATCATCATCATCATCATCATTATCATCATTATCATCATCATCATCATGATAATTACCATCACTATCATCATTATTAATGTTGTTGCAATTATTTCATCTGATATTTTAGAATAAAGGCATTCTTGGTTTATTCCATATTTTATCAATTACTCATTTAATGACTCCAGCTTTACTGGTCGTTATGTATATACCAATATCAATGGTTTTGACTTACTTTATAAGATTTAGTTTAAAGGTAATATTTTTTTATTCATGCTGATTTTTCTTTTTTATTGTTTTGATATTTTTTGTCCTATTCAATTCTATTTTCTTCTAGAACCCCCCAAAAAAGAGGAGATTTGGGCGATTCAATAAAGTTGAAGACATTCCAAACCAAAGTTTTTTATTTAAATTTTAATCAACTTGTATATAAATGAAAGCATTAAACTTTTGTTAATAATTATTAACAAATATAAAAAAAAATAAAATAAGATTGTTCCAATAAAACAATAAGCTTGAAAACAGCTATAGATATCTTTGGATGTTATCAAACATTTAAAAAATAAAATAAATTTATAAAAATACATTTTTGGCTGGGATAGATTATATTCAAAAATTATAGGTTAAAAATGTAGTATATTATTCATAAACAATATTAGACATATAATTGCATAATACAAATATAGTATATTAGGCTGTAACTGATATAATATATAATATATTTATAAGATATTTATATGAACAAGCAACATCTTTTAGATTTTCTACACAAAACAGTTAATTTTATTTTAGGTTTTGAATTAACTGAAATAAAGAAAGTCTATCCAGATTTTTTATCAGACGATCAGGTATAGTTTTGAAGATTTAGAAATTTCAATACTTAAAAATTCAATTTCTATTTTAACAATAATTTTTGTGACAGTATTATTGTAGTTTACAGTATTCTTACAATACAGTATTATCACACATCCACCTATGCACTTTTTCCTTGTATTTTTAGACATTTGCAAATCATCTGCAAATAAATAACCACAAATGCATTGATCTAAAAAACAGTTGCACTATTACTCTAAGATGATCAAAAATTTCAACTGAGTCAAAACATAGTTAATTTTAATCAATAAATATATCTCTATATAAATAGACTTTTACTTTAGACTCAATTTATTTTCTATAGCAAAACTGCAAAATTTATTGAAAACTTTGTTTAGTGATGACCTGTATAAGTTTTATACAACATCAAGAAATTTATTACATTACATTTTGTATATATTTTACATTTGATTACCTTAGTACAAATATCAGTTAAATATATCTATCATTTATCTCTATCATTTAAAACTCAGTTTAATTTCTTGAGCTTTCTGGATTCCAAAAAACTAAAGTTTTAAAAGCTTTAAAACCCTAAGATTGAATATAATCAATAAAATTTTATTGTGTATAATCACTTATCAATTAGATTTGGTGACTATAAAGGTGTCTCAAAAAATATTTGTCTAATTAGACATATTTAATCATTGAAAATCTAACTTAACTAAGAATTCATTTTAAGAAGTTTTTACAATCACTAGTCAGTCAACCAACCATTAGTTAATATAACTAGGCAATAGATATCTTTTTGCATTAATTAAGCTTAACCTTGAAATATTTTTTGAATACTTATGAGTAGTTATTGCTTACAATTTTTAGTTAAGCTGTCGTTCTTCTTTTTCTAAGTCGGAACAAAGCAAAAAACTTTGTAAGTTTTTTGTTTTTTTTTATTAAGTTTAACTTTTAATTTTTGAATTTGATTTTTTTCACTTTCACTTATCTACAATCATTTTGAACTTTTATTTTAAACATGTATGTATGTATGTATGTATGTATGTATGTATGTATGTATGTATGTATGTATGTATGTATGTATGTATGTATGTATGTATGTATGTATGTATGTATGTATGTATGTATGTATGTATGTATGTATGTATGTATGTATGTATGTATGTATGTATGTATGTATGTATGTATGTATGTTGTGTATGTATGTATGTATGTATGTATGTATGTATGTATGATGAGTAAAAGTTTTGTAAGTATCAAGCAGTTAATAGAGTAAAAGTGAGCACTGAATGATCAGTTGTGCAAGGTTAAGTTTTGGTCGGTGGAACAAAAAAAAAACTCGCCTGAGCACCAAGCATGGCAACATTTGTAGAAAAAGGAAAGAAATACAACCACTCAACAACAATTGTTGAAAAATCCAACCTTATTAACTAGAGAAAGTTCAAATGCATTTAGAATTTGTTTTTAGACCTTGTCTAAAAATAAAATCATTAAAAAATAAGCCCAATTTTGACAGAAGTATTTTTTATTAGGAAAAGTAAGAGGCATTATATTAAGAAAATCATGGGGTTTTCTTTTTCTTATGAAGCTGTGAGGCTTGGTTTAAACTAAGGAGAAGAAAAAAACTTCCACGTCTTCCTGGATTTAGTAGATTATGAAGGAGGCTAAATTTTCATCAGAGAAATAATAGACATCTAACTAAAGACCATAAAAAGAAAATTATGAAACCAAATAATATTTATCATATATTTACATCATATATTATATTTTTATTATTTAAATAAAACTAATTTTAATCTTCAAAATCCTTCAGATAGTAAAAAGAAGTGATAGAGTCTGATGTAGAAGAAGTACATGATAAAGATTTAGCGAAATCTGAACAACTATGGTCTGAAAAACCTGAAGGAGAGTAAGAATAAACTAAACACAGCCCAGAGTAGCTAAGACAAAGTATCAAAGAGTGGTAAATAATAATGTTTTTATGGAAAATGTCACTATCTTATGAGTAAAGGATTGAGAAAGAACAATGTTTTAATTTTAGTGCAAGCAGGATCATTGGTACTAGAGTCAAATTATTTAGTATGATGAACACCAATTTCAAAAGTTACTAGTAATAATGATATTAGTTGGGGGATGAAAGAAGTATCAAAATCTACGCAGTCTTGAAAAGAAGTAAAACAAAAGAGAACACGGAGAATGAGTGAAATGAGGTGAAATAAGTTTAAATGAATAAAATGTGGTGAGAAGAACACAGAGAATGGTGGTTAAGTGAAATGTTGTTAAAGGAAAGCACATAAAATAATTTATATCAGCTAGAATTTATAGGTATTCATGTAAGTGTTCTAAGATAAACATGGCTTTTTATTGTGATGTTATCCATAAATCACCACTTTTGATTGTGATGGCACCCAACATACGACTTTAAGACAATGTTTTACAGTTAAATGCAATTTAGACATGTACCTAAAGTTTTTAGAACAACAGCAAAGTTTTTTAATTAATGATTTGTTCTTAGACAATACATTCATCCAATTTTATGCTATCCAGTCTTTTTATTTCTTATGTAAGGCAATACAGTATTAAATATTATGACTCTTTTATTAAATTTAACATTCCAATTCCTTGGAGTTTAATAACACTAAAATACTGGAGCTTATAAATCAGTATTTAAGGAAGCTTGTAAACTGGTTTCTATATTTTGATGGAAAGCATCTTAATAAAAAAAAATATCAGTTTGTAGTATTAGAAAACGAAAGAATGAAAGTATAATTAGCTGCTCTATGTTTGAAAGATGGAAAGGCAGAAAGTATTTACATGGTTTATATAAAGAATACCTGCCCCCTACCCAGAATACGACCCTGGGTTAAGGAATTTTAACAGTTCTTGATGAATATAAATTATGGAGTGTACAGATGATAGTGGCTGACACAACCAGTATTAACACTTGTAAAATAGTGTTGTTGTAAGACCTAAGCAAGTATTTTCAGAAAAAGTGTTTAAGAAACTGTTATTTATTTTAGCATCACATGCTTGATAGGATTTAGTGTGTGGTGATGGATGAGGATATTGGAGGAAGCACCAAGTCTCCAAATATTATGTATCCTTTTGTACCTCAATTGATAAACAGTTTTCATTAATTGCAAGCAAAATTTTTGAATGGAACAGAAGTGGTTGTTGATAAGTCAGGGTTGAGAGATGACATAAAATTCTTTCATCATCTGACACTTGTTATTCTATGAAGAAAAAGGACATTTCTCTCAAAAAAATTCTTAATATTAAAAATATACATTAGAATTCAAAAGCTATCCTTGGCATTCTTGTATTTTTTCTTATACCTAAAACAAGACAATATTAAAGAAAATCTGCAGATTTATTTTGTATGATTGGGCATACAAAATAAAGTATTGGTTTGATGATCAATTTTACAATAAGGTAGACTAAAGTAACTTCTCACAAATACTGAAACCTTGCAAAAGGGGTTACAGGTATTATAGAAAAACTGGAAACTGGAACCATCAGCACTGAAGATACCAAGAAGCAACCAGTGCGCAGAATGCGCAATAAAAATGATGCAAGAACTGTATTCAGTCTGCAGAAAACAAAATAAATTTGCAGTCTAGATTTATTTTTAGTAATAGACAGTGATGTACTGATGTATATTAATCATAAATCTAGACAATACGAAGAATATATTTTGCTCTAGTAACTGTAATAGCTAGTGACTAGACATGCTTTAATTATTAAACACTGTGCATTGTTAAGTTATAACACGCAATAAAATATTTTGATTTGGGGAGTAAATATGTTTCAAAGGATGTTGAAATAGCTATTAGTTTCTTTGCTTTAGAGTATTTTCTCAAACTAGCATACAGAAAAATAAGATTGTAAAGTGTCATCTAGAACTAAAATATATGTATATATATATCTTTAGTGTTGACATCACACATAAGAGTATATGTTATGTTAGTAAGAAAACATCAATTAATACAAATTGTCTTAATACAATTAATAATTTATTATTATAAGTTTTTGTTAGATTAGGTTTACATGCATCATCAGCTTGTAAAAAATTATAATAAATATATAAATTATAAAAAATATTTAATCAAAAAAGTAAAATCTTATAGATTGAAAATTTTTTCCATGGACCAGTTTTGCTTACTAAGCAACTAAGCAAGAAAGAAGCCATTCAATTGCTGATGTCAGTTAACTTTAAACTACTTCTTGCATTACAAAAAAATTTTTTGTATAAATTTTACGAGCTGATAATGCTGGTATCTGATGCTGGTATATGATGATCCAGCGAAAATTTCTGAGAATAAATTATTACTTGTATTAAGAAAATTTGTAATAATTGATGTTTTATATATATATATATATATATATATATATATATATATATATATATATATATATATATATATATATATATATATATATATATATATATATATATATATACATATAGTAACAACAAAGGAAAATACAAGTTTACAGTTTACTGAAAGGAAGCCATTACTAATATCCAAATTAAACCTCACTCAAATCATGACCCTAAGATTCTAAATACATTTTTTAAAGGTTACATTTACAAAGCTTATTCTATAAGCAGTAATTTATATTTACAGAATAAGATTAATTTCCTTATTCAATGTTTAACAAAAATGGGTACAACATATGCCAACTTAAACGAATTGCAAACTTAATTGGAAATAAACAGTCCCTAAAAAGTAACAAAAATCATTCAGAGTCTCTTAACCTTCCTACTGTATTGTGACTGTGTTTTGCTCACAAGAAAAAAAGTGGTAAAATTTAAAAAACAATTAAAGTTGAAACAAAAAAATTGATCAAAAAGTGTGTGAAGCTCTTGAAACACAGAGGTTCAAAAGTTCACCTTCATTCAGCGGAATTTATTTAGATAATGGGCAGTTTGTAAAGACTAAGTTTTGGACTCTGTTTTCTACATTTTTATGTAAGCAAGAAAGAATCCATTCAACTGCTGATGCCAGTTAATTTAAAACTGTTTCTAATGTTACAAAAATTTTTTTGTGTAATTATTACAAGCTGATGATGCTATTAACCATAATCCAGCGAAAGTTTCTTAAAAGAAATTGTTAATTGTATTAAGAAAATTTGTATTAATTGATGTTTTTTTTTTACTAATATAACATATACTCTAATACACCATGTCAATGCAAAAGACATGAAAAAGAAAAGATACAAACATTTTATCATAAAACATAGAAAAAAGAGGTTGGCAATTTTTTGACAATCTCAAACACTTCTGGGTTGGCAGTTAGGTTGGCATTGCCGACCCTAATTCCAAGAGCTGTATATATATATATATATATATATATATATATATATATATATATATATATATATATATATATATATATATATATATATATATATATATATATATATATATATATATATATATATGTATATATATATATATATATATATATATATATATATTTATATATATATATATATATATTTATATATATATATATTTATATATATATATATACATATATATATATATATATATATATATATATATATATATATATATATATATATATATATATATATATATATATGTATATATATATATATATATATATATACATATACATATATATATATATACATATATATATATATATATATGTATATGTATATATATATACATATATATATATACATATATATATATATATATATATATATATATATATATATATATATATATATATATATATATATATATATATATATATATATATATACATATATATATATATATATATATATATATATATATATATATATATATATATATTTATATATAAATATATATATATATATATATATATATATATATGTATATATATATATATATATATA